TCAAACGGTCATCATCAATTTATGCAAACCAACACACCTGATGATGACCGTTTGAGTTATGGTCGAAACATCGTGAGAATTTTTTATTGTTTTATATATATTTTGTTATTTTGTTGTTTCTCTTCAACGTGACTTTACCGAAAAAACTAAGAATATGAATTACTGCAGTCACGAAAGCTTTAAATCAAAATGAATCACTGCAGTCACGAAAGCTTTCAATAAAAATTTAAATTAATGAGTTATCTTTTCATGTTATGTTTTTAAGTTTTCAGACGTTTTTAAATATATTTCCCCGCTAGTAGCAGTATATATTTTGACTTTATTAGCAAAAAGTACTCACCTGACAGATCGCCGTGACGAGGCCTAGTCCCGTGCAGAGCCTTCGGCCTCGCCTAGATCGCTATAATTTTAATATCTACTGACCCTATAATAGTAAGTGCACACATTGGGGTGGAGGGGGAGAAAAGAGGACGTGACACTTTGATGAATTTACCTCAGCGTTGCGTGTAAACTTTTTGCATTTTGAACCCGAATGAGAAATGGCGTCCACCCTGCAGCGACGGCGTCTGTGCGTTGCCAGGGGAAACTCGTGTCGGCGTTTCGCGCATGCGCAGCAGTGAGCCGGTCGCCAAAAGTAAATAAATAAATAGAGGGATCGCGCTAAACCGTTAATTAAACCACTTTAAAGGTGACGGATGGCAAAACGGAATAGCCTATGCCAAGCAGGGGGCTCGGGGTGTGCCGCCCGGCAAAAAAATTTCTACGCGAACCCCGCGGTCCGAGAGCCAAATCCCTCGCAAGCGAGCGTACACAGACAGACGGACGGACAGACAGATAAAAAATGCCTTTTATAGGTTAGATATAGAAGTTGTTCAAACTGTCGTTGAATAATAGAAATGGATCAGCTTCGCTTATACAGTATTGCGTAAATAAACAAATACAATCGAGCACGAGTCCGATAAGGAAAGACTCAACAAGACTATTCAGTGTCAATAGAAAATATATTTCGCAAATTGGATTTGAGAAATGAAAGGCATAAACGTAAATTGAATAAAAGCAGAAACAATCTCAGATAGCCTGATGACAGTCGTTCTAAGTTGCCCATTCGGTTCTGAAGGCTTGTGCTGCAGAAACATGCCCGTTAAGCTGCTAGCACGCAAGAGTTCATTAACACGCGCATCATGGACGAGCTGTTACGAAACCCAGCTGACTCTTTTGAAATGTCCGTGTAGCTCTAATTAGGCTGTGACGCCCATCCATCAACAGAGGGGAGCGGGGGTAGCGAGAAGGCTGTAATTTGCTGAAGTGTCATTTTACCCCGACTTACAAACGCGCAAGCAAAACGCTTCATGATCAACGGCACCGTACCATGAGTGCTAATACAACCATTAACACAGTAGAATTAGTAATAGTGTGGAAAATTACACAACAACGCAGGATAAAACGTACTTTTATGCAGCTAATAACACAGTTTATTCAGTGGTGATAAACCCAACAACATAGTCTGATCATTTCTTATGGTGAATGCATAAACCCATCAACGTAGTACAGTATGAACAATACTTGTGTTGAAATGACACTACCAACTACACCGCACTAGCAGTACTCGTACACCCAAAACAAAGTACCATCCGTACTCATACAGTACTTAAAATAAACACTAAGTTTTCAGTATCGGGTACCCTCAGCTGATACTCGATGTAAAATGTACACTACATTCTTATTTTGGCATGATACAGCACAACCAGCATTGCAGTGTCATCAGCCCTGATGCTGAAAATGTCACCACGCTGGCCCTTCAATACTTATGCAGAATATGGCACAACCACCACAATACCTCCTGCAATGCTGTTGGCAGCGACACCACTCGCAACAGACGTGTCAGCACGGATGCAGTGTGACCTCGAAATATGGTGTGGGGGAGGCTCCGAAAACAAAGTGAAAATCTCAACCCCTCCACCGAAACCCAACAACTGAACAGCGTGCCAAGTGACGCTTACTTTGTTGTCAGCTGCGGGTCCTCCCTGCGTGGATCTTCCCGCTCCAGGCAGTCCATTTTATATTGATGTTATAACATGAATGTGTAATACGCGTTTATAATATTCAAAGCAATATAATTAACATTACAAGCTGTAAATAGTTCTAAATTTGGTGTGGATGGAAATAACTTGGTGTAGAATAAGTTGATATACTGGGGCGCACCCCATGCTCGAATTAGCCCAATATTTCGAGAACACACTGCATTTAAAAAATACCACGACTAGATCAAATGCATGGGAAAACTAAACTGGCCATGTTGGTCTTCACACATTACCCTCGGTACTGCATACTACTGTGATGTTATTAATATGGAAGACACATTTTCACAAGTACTGCAACTGCAAATGGAAACACAACAAATCCGCTACCATCAGTACCAATTCTGAAACACAATACACATCCTCAGTGCTGTATTAATAATTTCACATTCATAATAGCATCATGGTTGATATTTTTCAGACACTAATTATTGTTGTATGTGTAGTTGGTTCACCACACTACTATTATAGTTTATTATAATAAACACGACAAAATGAAATAATGAATGTGGCGTTGGATGTTATAAAATATATATTGCATGCAAATGTTCATAAATAACATTTACTTAGCATTGGTGGTTTTGTTTTTATCTAGCATTGCCTATTCATTTTAATTTCAACATCACAGATTCATTGATTCTTGCAACCTTGAATAGTGCGCACGAATTGATTATTGATGATTCCCTGAGTTATATGCACACGTTTTCCTGAAGGCCAATGGAAGCAAAGGCACAGTACAAACAAGACAAATAAGATGTTAAAAATAATGGATTCGTTAAACAAATCATGACCCCTGCATAGTGACAGCTGGTATATGTTTGCAGAGATAGAGGCTGTTCATTGGTGACATGCCAAGAGATGTGTATTTTCTTACATTAAGAGCCCCCCTTTCATAACATCTTTTAACTATTTATACCTATGTTTTGTCCCTGGTTTTCCTTGTAGCTAAGAGGTGTTCTCATACATTTCTGGAAAAAATATCATACCAGATTATTTCACATTCCGTGGAATTGATTCCTTTGTGTGAGGAAAAAAAATGCAATGTACATTCCATATAACTCCACAGCTGAAATTAAGACTTATTAAGCTGACCATACTTCATCCTCCTAATGGACCAAATTTTTAAAATTTTCCTGCAGATTACTCAATTGGAATATTGAAAGTAATCATTGCCCCCCTGCTGCAAATATTTGCCAGGACCTTCCTGAAAAACAGTCACGAGCTCAAGTGAAGCATTCCTGGGTTAACAAGCAGAAATACTACAAAATAATGTTGCTCAGGATAGGTTGGTGAAGGTGGAGAGCATAGATATTGGAGCACAGAGTACAGCAATGGATTTTCCTTCACTTCCCTCTGCTATTTTTCTATGCACGTCACAAAATGTAGGATGCAGGCTGTATTTTGGTATGCTGTCTTTGCTGCACCACAGACATTTACCCAAGCGAAATGATTACCGTATGCTGCAGCGTTTTAAACTATTTTATAACCAAAACCTGTCCTGAAATAGAGAACCGAGTAAATGCTGTGTTGTGTGTGCCCACACAATTCGAGATCCATTCACCTTTTAAGTCCGTACGCATTTGTTCCACTTTAATATTTCAGCAGATGGCTTTATGAAACTTTTAGTATTCACAGTTTGTGTGGATGGGCTTTAACAGAGTGAACTGGCTCATACCCAGATGCAACAGACTGGAATTCATTAAACAGCCCAATGCAGGGCTCTTATGAGTAAGTCGCTGAAGACTTTTAGTTGGGCCTTCCTGGGTAACCAAATTGTGTGATTGTTAATGGCCATTAGGGATTAAATCTCATTTTATGTTTTGTGGCAGAACGAACTGGATTTTAATGGATGGGCAGGTCTTGAATGAAACTGGAACTTGTTTTTCCCCTTTTGCTGTAGTTAAGTTTAAGATCTTGAGTTGATCACAGCCGGTGCTATTAATGTCACCACATATCACTGTTGCTTCCTCCTTTCTGCTAGATCTCGCACCTTGATGGAGTGTTAGGAAAAGGTTACCCGAATGCACAGTCAGTTTAAGCAGACCTACACGTAAAGGGCAGTGAGTGTTTAGCACGTTAATCTTTATGTTGCAGAGTAACCATTTCAAACCGTTTGATGCATCAAAGCCACATTAAAATGCTAATTGGACACTAAATCAAGATTTCAAGGTTTTCACAGCCTTGATTAAAATTAATGTTTAGAAAATCTATTTATCGTGTTTTTATTTTGCTGTCTCTGACCTATTCACCGAAAATTAGCCTGATCTCACCAGGTTTCAGAAGCAAAGCGGGCTTTAGCCTGCATAGTGCTTGGTTGGTTGCCCACCGTACAAGCCAGGGTGTTGTGTGTAAGTGGCTGCGGGCATGTGCTACGTCTATGCCCCCCCCCCCACCATAATCAACCCACATTGAACGGCATCAGCGCGGTGGAGTGTGCACATGACAGGCGAGACAGTCTCGTGTCGCTATCTCATGGCGCGATGAATTGTGCTGGCAGGAGGGAGAAACGGCACCTCTGTTCACAGCACCGGCTCGCGTTGGTTCGGCAGGTCAACCGCGCAAGCTTGTGTTCTGCTCGGACACAGCTTTGTTAGGCCACATTGGGATGTATGTACGTATGTTGAACTTCTTTCGCACCGTACATAACCAACCGTGCAATGGGAGGTGCAGAGGAAGGACAATGAACTAAACACAAATCAGTTCGAAACAAATTCGTTTTCAATCTAGATTTAAAGGTGCATAGTAGCTTCTTAATATTGGAAGGAAGAGCATTTCAGATGGCCGCAGAAGTGCATCTGAAAGCGTGCAATGCAGTGACCATCTTTGGAAGATGTGACAACAGGGGATGTGAGCCCTGCATCTGGAGAGTTGTTGCGATAAGTGTGGTGTCCCTGACGCTGTGCATGCGTGTTTGTGCTGAAGGATTACACATGCCCCCGCTGTGAATCGGGATTCATTGAGGAGCTGCTCGCAGAACCCAGGTACTTAACGCCCAGCGTGTGGTTGTGCTTTTCCTGAACCCCACGTGTTTGTGTGTGTTTTTAAGTTTATTTATAGACGTTGCATGTCTGCATGTACAGCCGCTGCCTGAAGAATACCGTACAGGTCACGAGGCTTACATAAGTACAGTGGCTAACATGCAATTGTTGAGATTTTTCATTGATAAAGTGCTAAAACAGCCTTCAGTTAATTGTTTTAATTCATCAAATCCAAATGGCAATTGTATTTTGAAGATACTCGACTATGCCCACTCCCACATTCTAGTCACCTTAAACTATGGATGGGCTTGGTGAAGTGCGATTTTGAGCAGTGTAGTTACACTCACTGGCTCAGCGACAGGAATTTGTGCATGTTAATAAAGGGGGAGTGTTCACCAAGATACGATGGGGCCCCTTGGCCAAACGCACATTCTTCTCTTCATTCACAGTTTGTTCCCGAGTCTCAAAGGTGCAAAGGAGTTCATGAAAATAACTCGTCTAAATGTTGTTCTCTCATATATATTTTGTTGGTCAATGTTGGGACCAGTGTGCAGACCAGCGCATCGAGAAGTCACGATGAAAATCCCTTGACAAGAATTGAGGAGGTAGGTGTGAGCACGTGCATTGCCACAGGCTCTCTCTCGCTTTTTCTTCGTAAAAAGCCTCGCCGAGTCTCATGACCCGTCTTCAATTGAGTCCTGCATTGGGCATTCTTAACAGAAAAGTCATAAAAACAAGATTGCCTATACACCCTAATCCAGTAACTCACTTGAATATGGATCTTGAGACTTGAGTAAGGCTTTCCTGAGTAAACAAAGGGCGTTACTTTTATCATTATTAATCTTGAAATACAGTGTCGGGCAGACAGCACTGTCCCGGGAACAGTACATGCTTCTTGCTTATCCCTAGGATTTAGAAGCCTCTGGCAGGAGTGCGATTAACAACGTTCCGTGTTTGTCTTGATGACTTGTTGAGTTTTTGATTTTCACACGACTATAATTCCAATGAATTGTCCTTCACCGCTTCCCTACGCAAGGTCCTCGACCAGATGTTGTTGGAATTCAACCCCCTGACGGGGTTGCAGCTGATGACATTCGGCTCCCCCTCTTCTTCATCCACCTCGTCCTCGGCGTCCCGGCAGCACGCGAGCGGCACGGACGACGCGCATGGGAGCTCGGCACCAGTCTCCTCGTCGTCGTCATCGGACGAAGGCGGGGTGGTGTTGGAAGCGGATGGCGCAGCCAGCCATGCGCCGGGGCACCAGCACGCCGGAGCTGGGCTGGGTGCAGGGCAACAGCAGCAGCGAGCGCAGTGGGAGCATTTCCACATTCACACGCACGCGGGGCGTGTGCCGTCCATCGAGGGGTGAGGGCAGTGGGCATTGGTGACTGTTGCTGGCCGCCACTCGCTGGTAGACTCCAAAAAAGAAAGTGATTTTCCCTTTACCAAATGTTATCCTGATTGTGCTTTCGAAAGCATTGCAGTTAGAAGCAGATCCCACAGCCACCTCTGACATCCCTACAAGTAACCTGTGGTCCACACATTAGCGGGCGCAGCACTTTTCCATGCACTCTGCCACCAAAAGTCATGTTTGTTATTTTTTTTTGTGCAATCGATGCTTACCAGTCTGAGACCATTAACTAGCTGCAAATGAGAACCTGGTGTAATCACAGGCAGCTGCATTAATTCAGACCTAGGATCGTTTTAACTCTCATGTAGATGAGCCAATATAAATCAAGCTGTAGTGTACAGTGGTGTTGCTATATGAGGCTTACCTGTTTGGAAACTGGCCAAGTTGATAAAAGGGTTGTCAAAGACCTGGGGAGACACAAACCAGAGCAAACATGACTACTTGCAAATATACAAATGAGTTTTGCCCTGCCAGCTACTGCTAATTATATTCCTAAACTAAACTGTTTTTATTTTACAAGGTAAGGCCCACTGAGCTGTCTAGCTCTTTTTCAGAAGCGACCTGGCCACAAATGATAGCTCAGCGAAGTGACTTATCATCATGTGGAAATGTATAGCAGCTAAATACTCTAAACACCTATTTCTGAATGCGGAGGGAAAAACTGGAGGACCCAGAGAAAAATGCACACTCCAAATATACAAGTGTAAGGGTTGGGATTGAATCTCCTGTATACCAGGCAAGGTAGTTAACATCTCACTACCGCAGCACCTCTAATACTTCCAAGGACCAATGTGCTTGGAAAGTGTTACAAAATAAATATTTATGCGTGATTTTTCATGTTTTATTTTGTACTAATCATGATGCCTATATTTCAGAGTCATCCAGCAGCTGCTTGGCAATTTACTGGGTCATCCGATCACCGGCCAGCCCGGCGTCTCGTGGTAGGAGCACCGCTTCCTGACTTTGCTGTGCAGTGATCTGTCTCTTTGTTAATTATTCAAGGTGCTTGTGGACAGCATAATAATTTTAAGCTAAAATAAGAGGTGCGATACATTTTCATTAAATATAAACCTTTTTGCTTCATGCCTTGCAGTTCTGTCGGTGCAAAGGTGTTGACACATATATTTGTTTATTGCAAAGTTAGTGCATCATGCATCATACGAATGGACCGCTGATTTTACCTGGATTAACAGAAAGAGTGGAAAACGAATGGATTTTCAGATGGCCCGCCTTCCTTTATTAAAATAGGTAACTTGTCAAAGTGTTTACTTCTTATTCTTTGGGTCTTTCGGTAAAGCCACATAGATATTAAAATAATAAAAATATCACGACGTTTCGATCGCAACACAAGCAATCGTCATCAGGTGAAAACAATATATAGCGGGAGAGCTGCTGAAGCAGGATTTTATGTAGGTTTGAGATGGGTTTAGCCCAAGGGTAAGTGGGTGGGGCTAGAGATGGAATTTGCATATAAATGTAAGATTGGAGAGTTGATATACCTCCATGACGACGCAACTGTGGAGGTGGCCTTGTATTGTGAGAGATTAGCATGTCATTGTAAGCGAACCACCGCAACGGTGGCTGTGCTAGTGTTCCACCTCCATGGTGAATTTAATGACTGGGTGGAATTGATGTGGTTGAAGAATTGGCCCAGCGCTGGTAGACCGTATGGCCAGATGACGAATGTGTCACTTGCGTATCTCTTCCACAAGGAAGGGCGTAGGGTGGATGCCTGGATGGCATCTGTCTCAAATTTTTCCATGAAAACATTGGCTACAACTGGAGATCAGGGCGAACCCATTGGGGTACCTTCAACTTGTTTGTAGAATGTTCCATTCCAGGTAAAGTAAGTGTTGGTGAGGCAGTGTCTAACCAGGGCCGGTACATCAGCATTCAGTCCTTGCTGGACCAAATCTTCAATCATTGCAATGGTGTCAGGCACAGGAACTTTGGTAAACAAAGATACTACATCGAAACTGACAAGAAAATCACCTGGAGATAGTGAGATGTCCTTAATTAGAGATACCTTGTGAGCTGAGTTAAGTATAGCTGAGGTGGTCTTACCAGTGAATTGTTGTAGGGTCTCAGAAATCGGGCCAGTTTGTAGGTGGGCGAGTTAATGGTGGAGACGATAGGACGGAGTGGTGTACCTTATTTATGTATTTTTGGTAAGCCATAAAATCTGGGTGGTCTAGCAGCAGAGGGTTTTTAGGAAAGCCGCTTGGTTGTTCAATTAAGATCTCGAATCAGTGATATTGTTGGTTTTTGTAACCAGGCGATTTTGGTATAGCTGCCATCATTCAGTAGGTCCTGAATTGTGTTATCTTATGTGGTTTTGTCCTTTTCGGCTGAGAGGATGACTGTCATCTCTCTTTTTTCGTTGAGAAAGCTCAAAGCGCTCATCATTGCTGATGTTGCTAATACAGTGAGGGAAAAAAAGTATTTGATCCCCTGCTGATGTTGTACTTTTGCCCACTGACAAAGGAATGATTAGTCTATAATTTTAATGGTAGGTATATTTGAACAGTGAGAGACAGAATAACAACAACAAAATCCAGAAAAACGCATGTCAAAAATGTTATGAATTGATTTGCATTTTAATGAGGGAAATAAATATTTGACCCCTCTGCAAAACATGACTTAGTACTTGGTGGCAAAACCCTTGTTGGCAATCACAAGAGGTCAGACGTATCTTGTAGTTGGCCACCAGGTTTGCACACATCTCAGGAGGTATTTTGTCCCACTCCTCTTTGCAGATCTCCAAGTCATTAAGGTTTCGAGGCTGACGTTTGGCAACTCGAACCTTCAACTCCCTCCACAGATTTTCTATGGGATTAAGGTCTGGAGACTGGCTAGGCCACTCCAGGACCTTAATGTGCTTCTTCTTGAGCCACTCCTTTGTTGCCTTGGCCGTGTGTTTTGGGTCATTGTCATGCTGGAATACCCATCCACGACCCATTTTCAATGCCCTGGCTGAGGGAAGGAGGTTCTCACCCAAGATTTGACGGTACATGGCCCCGTCCATCGTCCCTTTGATGCTGTGAAGTTGTCCTGTCCCCTTAGCAGAAAAACACCCCCAAAGCATAATGTTTCCACCTCCATGTTTGACGGTGGGCATGGTCTTCTTGGGGTCATAGGCAGCATTCCTCCTCCTCCAAACACGGCGAGTTGAGTTGATGCCAAAGAGCTCCATTTTGGTCTCATCTGACCACAACACTTTCACTCAGTTGTCCTCTGAATCATTCAGATGTTCATTGGCAAACTTCAGACGGGCATGTATATGTGCTTTCTTGAGCAGGGGGACCTTGCGGGCGCTGCAGGATTTCAGTCCTTCACGGCGTAGTGTGTTACCAATTGTTTTCTTGGTGACTATCGTCCCAGCTGCCTTGAGATCATTGACAAGATCCTCCCGTGTAGTTCTGGGCTGATTCCTCACCGTTCTCATGATCATGCAACTCCACTGGGTGAGATCTTGCATGCAGCGCCTGGCCGAGGGAGATTGACACTTCTTTTGTGTTTCTTCCATTTGCGAATGATCACACCAACTGTTGTCACCTTCTCACCAAGCTGCTTGGCAATGGTCTTGTAGCCCATTCCAGTCTTGTGTAGGTCTACAATCTTATCCCTGACATCCTTGGAGAGCTCTTTGGTCTTGGCCATGGTGGAGGATTTGGAATCTGATTGATTGCTTCTGTGGACAGGTGTCTTTTATACAGGTAACAAGCTGAGATTAGCACTCCCTTTAAGAATGTGCTCCTAATCTCAGCTCGTTACCTGTATAAAAGACACCTGGGAGCCAGAAATCTTTCTGATTGAGAGGGGGTCAAATACTTATTTCCCTCATTAAAATTAATTTATAACATTTTCGACATGCGTTTTTCTGGATTTTGTTGTTATTCTGTCTCTCAATGTTCAAATAAACCTACCATTAAAATTATAGACTGATCATTTTTTTGTCAGTGGGCAAACGTACAAAATCAGCAGGGGATCAAATACTTTTTTCCCTCACTGTAGGTGTATTAGCGTTTTTTGAGGACTGCAGCGATTTCCGATCTTTCCACGTCTGCAGGAATGTGTCCTAAACCCTTAAGGGCTATGTCGACCTGGGCAATGATATCATCAACTGAGATGTGTTTATGGGTGACTGCAAAATTTAACCCTTTAGCTAGAACCGATTTTAGGCTGTTGGAAATTGGGCTGTTACTCTGATTAATAACAATCTTGTCACCATCCAACATTTAAATGTGTGGATCTGGCTTCTTCTTGGAAAGGATGTTAACTTGGAAATCAGGTTATCTTTGCATTTAGCTGACATTGAGGCGGCTGAAAAGGCTATCATGTTATCTACATGATCCCAATCAGATGTCGACATGTTTACTTCTTCCTTCGTTTAAACTGTGTCCACAGCAGCAACTGTGCCTAGGAAAATGTCTCGATATGTTTAGTCCAGTGTTCTTCATTACAAGGCTCGTGAGCCACTGGCGGCCCCTGGTGGCCTTTAGTATCCCCCTGACGTGCGGCCCCCATCAATACACAAATATAAAAATGCCCCCTTGCAGGCGATGTGGCGGCCCTTGCAGGCTGTCGCACCCTTTTCATCACAATATAAATATTTGATTCTGTGCAGGGGCTTTCTGCACTCGGATCCTGGTGATTATGCATGGGGCCTGAACGGGCTGGATCGGATCATCACTCAGGTGTGTCTGGTGCCACACCTGTCACTGACATCTTGTAGATGCGTACCCTGGTCGTGTGTCCCCAGGGCTGCCTGCGATGAGTTTGAAGCGTTTTCAATTCACGAGACAAGCCGAGTAATGTCAGACTTTAGGAAGTGCACAGTGAAAACTGGGGCGTTTAACCCTACCACAGCCGTGCATTTTTAACTGTGTTTCTCAGCAGGCAACCACTTTTGAAAATTCTGTGAACTTAGTTCAGTTAGGATTTTTGTAAAAAAAAATCTGAATGAATGGGGCATCGCCCTGCTCTTTATTTGCAATATTTTGTTGATATCTGTGGCTGCAATAATTTGCTCATAATTTAACCCTCACACTTCTGCATTCAGTGCTTGTGCACTTTGTACATTGATGTTCGTGCTGAATGGTCCCATGCCAGTCATTGATGCCGAGCCAGTGGTCCCAGTGTCGGAGCTCCGAGTCATTTTTGCAGTGTTATTAACAAATATATTGAGTTTTTTTTGTTATTTCTGCTTACGTACCACTGTCAAGCAGCATCTCCAATAATTTGCTTTAGAGATGTTTTGTTTGATAGACCTTGAACCATTGGTTCTTTAGTCATTTGAGATGGAAATATGCAGAAGTGAAAAACTAAATTTAATTTGATATTTTTAATGTGAAACCATTCATTGGTGTCTTAGTTGAGGCTATCAACTCACCAAACTTGAGAATCCAGTATAAGCAGAGGTAATGCCTAAGCCACTTTGTTTTTGTCCTTCCCTCACACCTCCGATAACCACAGTGGGACAGAAGTTCAACATATATACATACATTGACTTACACAGCGACTCATAGACTCAAGCCATATATACATACATACACTCGGCCACCTCTTTGTTTTCCTGTGTAATGTTGGATTCTGCCTGTGGCAGCTGCTGGAACAGCTGGACACATCAGGGCCCCCACCAGCTGACCGAGCCAGGATCCACACGCTGCCCAACATCACCATCACGCAGCAACATGTCGGTGCGTACCAATAATGGTACTCTGTACACCCCCCCCCCCACAACCATCAAAGGGAAACCGGCCATGTGCCAGGCAACCACCCTCGTAGGCTGAACAGAGGCTAAGTGAGGAATTGGTCAATGCGACGTAAACTGAGTGAAAGCGGAACTTCAGAATCAAAATCTTTGTTTATTCTGGAGACATCTGATGAGCGATTAAGCTTTTTTTCACAGATTTCCAGTAGGAGTAGGGTCAGAGCTATTAGTTCCTTTTTTAGAAGCAACCTGGCCACAAATTATGTAGAAATTTACACGCAGAAAGTGGTCTGAAAGCCTATAATGTGACAAGCCACCATGTTTAAACATTGTGGGTGAACTGACATCGTAGAAATAGATATACACAATGCACAAACATGCCCTGTCTTTTAAAAACCCGTAGAGAAACACGCCCTGGCTTCTGAGTGTCGGTACGGAACATCGCCATGGCTTGTGAGTGGCAGTATAGAAAAATGCCATTAGTTGAAAGTATTCGTACATAAAGATGAGACTGCTCGAAGTAATTGCGCGCCGCTTGTCCAGACGCGGGCCTGGAGTGCTCCGTCTGCAGGGAAGACTTTGCGGAGACTGAGGTGGTACGGCAGCTGCCCTGCAAGCACATGTACCACAATGACTGCATCGTGCCCTGGCTAGAGCTGGTGAGTCTGCAACGCTGTGGAGGTGCTCAGCCCGTGCACAGTGTGACGATCTGCCATTTAAAATGCTATAATTTTGGTGGCCTACAGCTGCCTTATTCTAGCTCCTGTGGAGGGCTTCTTAGTGCCTTGCCTGTTGCCCCCACTGATGTCCTCTTCTCCCCCCCCCCCTCCCAGTGTGTGCAGATACTACTGACTATTGTATGTGGGGTGTGTAGGCATATATGCCTACAAAATAAAAACATTTTGGGTGGTGGGGGTGGGGGATCGACAATTTTTGGAAACCTGTTGGATCAACTTTTTATCCCCACACCTAGGGGGGGTCCACTTTCTATAATTTTAGATTCACGTCTTCTAAAAGGCTCTTATGAATTTAGTTGATAGACAAACGGAATGCCAGGCTTTTATAATTAGAAGTACAGCTGTGTACTAAATGAATGCTTCGATCATCTCGCATAAGGTGGTACTCCCTTCTGGCTTGCCTCTCTGTTGAGCGCAGATGGCGCTTTTAGATTTTTGCAGAGTGATTGAATGTATGTTGGACTTCTTTTGCACTGTACATAACCAAACGTGCCAATCGTTCTTGCACGGTATTGTTGGTACAGTGGTACCTCGGTATACGTCATTAATTCGTTCCAGAAGGTAGGACTTATGCCGAAAATGACGTATACCAAACGAATTTTTCCCGGATGGTGGGGGGGATGGCGGTGGAGAGTGGGATGGGAGACAACTTTGCACGATTGATACATTGCAAGTCAAATATCCTAGTGATGGTAGTGTGTAAGGCTGGGAGTAAAAGACCAGAGATATGGATATGAATATAAACCTAAGGCAGCTAAAGTTTAACATGGTTAATGACATCTTTCCAATGATTGCTCAATTTGAATCCATCCTCTCGGTTGAAGTTATGTCTATGTTTGTGTATCTGTATGGCTTCATGGACAAATCTTTGGTGGTATCCAGACGGCTTGCAGAGGATCTTGGTATCGGAGGAAACAATATCATGAGAGCCCACCGTGTTATAGCAATGATCAGTTACGGCAGAAGAATTGTCCTACCGTGTTTGAAATCTGACTTGTGATCGCGAATGCGGTCAGATACATGTCGTTTCGTTTTTCCAATGTAACAATCACCACAAATGCAACTCAGTTTATAGACACCAGAGTACTGTAAGTCAGGGATGACATCCTTTACCGATGGGATCAGATCACGGATTTTGTGTACTGCACTGAATCGGACCTGGATCTTGTGTTTGTTTAGAATTTTGGAAATCTTTTTGGTAACGCCTGCTATGTATGGTAATGTCATGGTCTTGATAGGAGTCTCAAGAGGTTGTTTTTCCATGGTAGGAGAAACAGCTTTGCGGATAGTACGGTCCGAGTATCCATTCATCTTAAGGGCCAGGCGTACGTGTTTCAATTCACTGACCAGGTGGTGTTTGTCAGAGATGCAGTGGGCCCTATGGTGTAGTGTTTTGATTAGGGAATTCTTCTGTGCCGGATGGTGGTAGGAATCAGGCTTCAGATACGAGTCTGTGTGGGTGGCCTTCCTGTAGACAGAATGTCCCAAAGAGCCATTGGACCTCTCAAACAGAACATCCAAGAATGGTAGCTTGCCATCCTTTTTTTTTTCCTTTTTACCTACATGACTTTACCGAAAGAACCAAAGAGTATGGATCATTGCAGTCACGAAAACTTCAAATCTAGAATCACTTTGCCTTGCTGAGCGGAGTTGATAGCCTACGAGGATGGTGGTGGGGAAAGGGGAGGAGGAGGAGATGTTATTTTTTTGAAGGAGAGTCCCCTTCCGTTAACTTCAGGAAGCTGAAGTTCTGGGTGTTTTTTCTCTTTCTCTTTTGTGTCTTTTTTCTTGACTTGGACCTGGTTGAGGCTCACCAGGTTTGAGTTTTACTAAACCTGTCCATTGAAGTTTGTTTTTGCCTTCTTCTAAGAATGTTCCTGAAGTGTGACATTGTCTGGTCATTCCACACAATACTGTTACGGCTTGTTAGAGCTTTGTTGGGGGTGGGGTATACACGGGTACTATACGTGGTGACTCATCGAGACCCATACAAGTTCTAGCAAGCGCGTCGTATCTCAAGCAAGACGTCGTATCCCAAGACATTTTTTTCTCGTCAAAATACGACATATACCAAATTCGACGTATTCCAAAGTGGTCGTATACCGAGGTATGACTGTATTTCCGAAAATTCCGCACAGTCTAATGACGCCTTGCGCATCGGTGGCAGGCAAAATGGGACACTGAGCTGACGCATGTGTTGTTTCCACCGTGTTGCCCCCACACCGCCCCGACCCCCACCAGCATGACACGTGCCCCGTGTGCCGGAAGAGCCTGAATGGTGAGAACACGGCCACGAACCAGCACGCTTTTGCCGGAGCCACATTCGGCGCGCCCGGCCCACCCGGCCCACCCGGCCCACCCGGCCCACCAGGAGGACCCGGGACGAGCCGCCATGAGCAGTAGGACCTGGCCCGGAATCTTCCCAGACAGGAGGTCCCCGCCCACCCCCATTGCCCCTCTGTCCTCGTTCCCTCATCCTCCAATGCCCTCCTCTCCCCTTCCTGATGTGAATCAGTGAGGTATGTGTACATATGTTTGTTGGACTTCTTTCGCACCGTACGTAGCCAACCATGCTAATCGGAGGTGCAGGGGAAGGACAACAAACTAAAACACAAAAAGCAGTTTCTAAAAAAATTAGTTTTCAATTGAGATTTAGGAGGTTATAGCTCCAGTGGCTTTCGGTGACGGTCTTTGTACGATAGTTAGCCAAAAGCTGCTGCGAGGTGGAGTTGTCTTGTTAGAGCAATGGGAGTGGAATTACTGTCAGCAGTTCAGCTCCTGGTTTACTTTTATAGTTGAATTAAGAGAAATGGATAAGACTAATTCTCATATACAACATTTTATTTATTATAGTCATTAATAATCGGGTACCAAACGATTGCACAATGCCAAACACGAACCAGAATCTGTATATTAATGCGACTTTAGGACATTTTTTGCGATGAAGTGGCTGACAATAATTCACTGTCATTTCCATCGCAAAGCGATGAAAATGACAGGATATTTTGTTAAAATTTATGATTGTTTTTTTTTACTCGCACATCTTAGAAGAGTTTGTGTAGCCCCAGACTAAGAGTTATGGTTTCCTTCTCAAACCAAGGCGAGTGGGTTCCCATTCATCCCTTTCATTTCTAGAATGTGCATGAATTTTTGAAAAGTGTCAACTTGAAGTGGCAGGGAAAATACGTGGCCAGAATTTTTACCACTTTTGGAAATTGCATTGCCATTATTAATAGAGAATGGGGTAAAAAATCGGCTGGCACCTTTGCTGACGCATACCCCTGTAGCATTAACACGCAAGTGCTGTTCAACTATGGTCCGACATCAAACCATAACCGGGTTTTTTCTCATGTGCATATCAAAGTAAAATTATGGTAGACCATTGGAATCCTGAATGATCCTGGGAACACAGAAGCGGCAAATATATCTGTGGAAGCCCCCAGTCAATATTTGCTCAGTGGGGGGGTCACTTTCCACTGCTACACTATAGTCTAGAACTCCCTTTCCCCTGCCATCTGTGCAGTCGACTCCCTGCACAGCCCTGTTCAAGGTGAGGTTCAAGACCTTCATTTTTTCCTCTGCCTTTGACTGACTGCCTCTATTAAGTTAATGTTCTCCCTTTTTGTACAGTGTTGAGATGCGGTCACATTTAGTTTTAAATCCACTTTGTATTGTAAAATGTATTGTAGTCCCTAAGAATGGCTTGGTGTGTAAAGGGTTGTGTGGAACCTGCAGCAGTGTGCATCCTTCACCCTGAAACAACATGCTTTGCTCTCTTCTGTTATCTGCTAAAACCAAAGCTCCTGTTCCATTCCATTGAATTTGCTTCTGGCCATTTGTAAGGTGCTTACACCAAAACCAACTTATCTGGCCAGCTTTCTCCTACAATTCTGTTTTTGTGCAGCACTGCTTGGTAGCATTTCTGGAGATTATAATTAAACAAGTTAATAGAGCAGTTTTCACGCATTTGGTTTCCCTTGGGTCCAAGGTCCATCGTCTTAATTTTGTCTGCACTGACTGCAGTGTAAACTTGCTGACGATGAAAAAAAAACGAGGTGCACCTCAGCGTAAAACCGAGGGCGGAGTGGACAAGCTTGTCACGTGGTGTTTTTTATGTTGTATAAAAAAAACAACCTGTTCTTTGTTTTCGCGGGACTGCTGCTCGTGATTCCACAGCCGCTGGTGTGCATCCCGTGGCATTTTGTGAAATTGCCACTGCAGTTTGGGGGAAGAGAAATGTGGTGCGTACATTCTGTCCTCACCCCAGCACCGTAGCCCACTCAACAGAGTTGCATTGCCCAGTGGCAGAGGCCCGCAAGAAATATTCAATTGGGAATCTTACGGGTTTAGGAAAAAGTAAGCCAATGCAAAGCACATTTTTTTATGCTTTGCGTAAAGATGGTGTGTTTGAGTGCACGGCGGATCTACGCAATGCTTTTCGGTGAACGCATGGGTTGGGTTACCTGTGTGTTCTTATATTTTGTTCAAGTCAATTCCCGAACACTAGTACTCCGCACAACCCTCAATATAATTGAGCCAGCTCTGTTTTTATATTTCGAAAAATGTAATTTCGGTGCAGCACAACAACTGTAAATGCCCCGTTGTGCCCTGAAAAATAATTTTCATTTCTCAAGACACCTCGGGGGAGACCTGCAATAAAACTCTAGTCCATGAGATGTCCCCCCAACAGTTTCTGGTCACTGTAGCTCTGGTGTTGGCAGAAAGGGATCGTGCTCCGCTGGCTCACGGCGCCCACCGTCCTGAGTGCCGTGCAGTTGTGGTGGTCACGTTCCCTTCCTGACTGCATTGCTTCCGGCTCGGACTGCCGTGGTTGAATTTGTGTGCGCAATGGTCTTCCACCTGCGCCGTCTCATTTGACGGCCATAGGTGACAGAGCCGTCCCTCGGGTACGGCGAATCAGGGCGACCGCCCTGAGCACTGTGCTTAAGGAGCTCCGCGCTTGGGAGTGACGGTGTCGGATGTAATAATTTAAGTTTAGTTTGAAGGCGTAGGGGGACCCACACAATGGGATTTGCCCCGGACCCTGCTCCTGCATAAGGACGACGGCCCTTGTGATAGTGCAGCTGGGTTAGGGAGACAGGCAGCTTTGGATTGAGGGCAGCTCATGCCAAATGCCGCACAGTTTGAAATCCAGTCGTGTGTTTAGTGGGCCTTATTTTATGCTGATGGTCAGATACGTAATCATTACTGTGTGTGTACATGTACAATCCTTTGATCAAACCAATCGTGGATAACGGTCCCTCCGCATGCCGTGCTGGTCATACAGGTAAAGTTACCGTCTCACCTGCTGGTTAGTGCGGGTTGATGAATGTGCATTTGTCGGCTTGGCTGCATTTTTTTAAAATTTCAGTCAATTATTCTCTCGCAATTAGGTGTGATCGTCTGAGATGTATTTACGTGACGCAAACAATTTATTCACCTTTTCTACAGCACTTTCACAAACACAACTTTGCCAGGTTTACGGTGCTGTTTTTGTTTTAGTTAAAGAAAACTCCCGTGGCCTCTTTTGCCGCGTTCGGTTAATTGCTCTGCTAGTTCTCGACGCCGTTGGCCAAGGTCTTGACGGTGCGACACGACTGCGCAGTCCATCCAGTCCAAAAGAATCGATGTGATTCGCGAGTCACGACTCCTCGCCTAACGCAGGGAAGGGGAACTCCCGGCTGACCGCCCACGGCCAGTGTCGGGCCCACAATTTGATTTCATCCACCCAATGGCCACATGAAGCTCACCACATTGCAACGTATGTATGCTGAACTTCTTTCGCACGGTACGTAGCCAACCGTGCTAATCAGATGAGTGGGGGAATGACAATAAACTAAACACAAAGCAGTTCATCCTAGATGTAAAAGTGCATAGCTCCAGTGGTTTCCTAATATCGGAAAGAAGAGCATTGCAGACGGCCGCAGAAGCGCATCTGAAAGCGCACAATGCATTTGACCATGTTTGTTCAATGGTTAGGCAAAAGCCGCTGCTGCGAGGCTGACCGGCCTACAGACATACTTTTATCTGTCACTGCAAGCGTCATGACCACAGTAATTGAGTACTGGAGTGGAGTTTATTTTTTACCAGGCATAGATGCGTTTCAATTTGTGGATCTTGCTGCAAGGTGGCCTCTTGCAATGACAGAAATGTGTGCGTTTAATGTGCAGTTGCCCACCAAAGGTTTTTGAAAGTCCTATTCGGCCCGTGGCAAGGAAAAGGTTCCCCATCCATGCCTTTCTGGTCTGGAACGCTTAACGGAACGGAGGCAGGATTTGAGTGCATGCAGTGCTATCACACAGCTCGCCAGTCTCCAAGTCGGCGCACAAGCGGTTTCGTTTGTGCATCGGGTGCTAGTGTGTGTGAAATTGGCCATGGGTCGCTGTCTCCATGCTGACAGAGCCACGTCCTCTTCCACTACTGGCAAACTAATGCACGTTTGCAAGCCGGTGCTGCATTCATCTTTTGCCTCTGCGGCAGGAGATCAGCTGCCGCCATGGGGTCCCCTTTGGTGAACCTGCAGCAGGGCATCGGAAAGGTTGAGACAATGTGATGCAAGGTGCTACGAGTTACCAGGGCATTTAAGCGAACGCCCGTGTATATGCTAATCCTTATTGCGTTGTGACTGCTGCTGCCAACGTACACGTTTTCTTTCCTTTGTGGTAGGTGGCGCCCCCGAACTGTGACGTGACGCGCGCGCATATTTATTTATGATACTGGGCTGGCGTGAAATATTTTTCGAATTTGGCAACATGGGTAACCAGGGTAAGCTTACGGGTGCATTAGGGTAACTTGTAAATATACACACGCACACACATGCTCTTTGGCCTCTAGGGCTGTGTAAGTAGCCCTTGGGCCCATCTGTACATTGCATAATGTGACTTGCAAGCCAATGCGAATTAGAAAATTGTGTTGCAATTAAGTGTAGTTTGGTACTGCCCCGCCACCATTCATTGACACCTACTGTATGTATTCAATTGCAAGGTTGCACATTATGTTGTCCCACTTTACCAAACTCCAGTCCTCGCACCCCACCCACCGCATTTCCTTGTTTACCATTCGCCATTAAATTTTGAATTGCGGCGGTGCTGCTTTGGCAGTGGTGCTAAATCACGAATGATAAATGGAACACGTTCGTCAATAAAAAAAGCCTTAATAAGGAAACATAATAGGTGACGTTTCGGGCAATGATCCTTCATAGCGCACAGATGTACAGATTTTTGCTACATGCTGAATGTGTCCGACTGGTAAACACATCCCACATGACGACATCTGAAGCACGGATTCAATAGAGGATGTGGCATTGCTCTTGACATCACATGAGACACGTTTACACTCGCACAAGATCTATCTTAATTTGAATTGGAGCTCTACATTACATTGGACACACAAGATCCTCTCTGTCAATTGGCACTCTACATAACAAAAAAGCCTCATCCGCCATGCTTCATTCTTCACTGAGCTGTGTTGACATCTAAACTGTGCTTATGCCATGGGAGGTGCAAGGCACTTGTGCCAGGCAAGGTAGAAGGATACGGGACAGGCCCACCTGTTTATTATGGGTTGTCCGAGGTGGCTGGCAAATGCCTCGTGGGACCTACATGTGGTACACGCACGTACAAACGTGCACTGGATTTCAATTTGAACATTTATCCACTGTTCTCTACACAATATGGGTTGCACAAGTTCTCTTAAATTGAATCTGCTTTGTCACATTGGACTTGTTTACCAGTCATCAGGCGCGTGTGGCAAGTATGCTTTTGTTTTTTGTACGTGAATGGAGGAGATTGGTCAATTGTTTTAAAGGCACTCCATATATGGGGCAAGAGAGCTGGAGAATGGTGGTGCCTGTATGAGTAGCTGATGCTCGGGATGACGCAGTTCTGGCTGTGTTGCCGAGTGATTTTTATTGAGCAACTTCTCTCCAAACGAGCGGCGCTTCTCTGGTGATTGTGTGAGCCGCCGCTTTATATGGAGGCTGCTCTTCTTAGTCGCTCGGCTCAAGCCTGGCTCCCACCTGGCTCAGACTACCACATGGCTCTGGCTCCCACATGGCTCCTGCTCGAGCCGCTTAGTTGCATACAAAGACTCGGAGTGGCTCAGCCATGGCTTGACGCAGCTTCTGGAAATCCTGAGCATGGCTGGGGGTGGGAGGGTGACTGTGCTTGGAGCCAGTTCAAGTGAAACATCACTTTGGGCTGGCTCGCCTTGAGCCAAGCCTCAGCTGAGCGATTAATAAGAATACCGGCCTGGGGGTTTGTTGTTGCACTTTTCGCGATTCTCATTTCACAAACGCATTTGTAAGGACACGTCCCTTAAGTGTTTTCAAAATATATATTTTTTAAATCTGATTTGCAAACCGTGAAAACGCAATTCGGTAACCGAATCCTGGAAGAGGCGCGTGGTGAGCGTGGACGCAACAAACACTTCCTCTCGTGCTCCAAAGGAACGGCATTGTACAAGGACGAGATTGAGCTGTCCCGAGGTGCATGATTCAAGTAAAGTGCGCACATGCGTCATCGATTGTGCGGGCGGGGTGTAACGACGCATTCATTCATAGATTTAATATCGATCTTTTAGATCTCGATACGTGCTTAGAATCGCGCACGTGCACCAGTCAACGTTATAGTATTCCCTCGTTATTCGCGAGGGATACGTTCCGGAGATGCTCGTGAATAGCAAATTTCGCCGATAATATTGACCTAAATAAATACATAAATAAGCTATTCAATACATGAAAAGTATAACACCAAAAATGTAATTGGTTATAATAAACAGAAAAAAATATTAAGGTATTAAATAATAGTTTATAAATGCATTTACTTCAAATTATGATAATGCTGTGCATCACTTTACCTCATCACTTTTTTGTCTCCATGCAGCAGTCATGTAGAGTTCCTGATGAAATTCGCGGATAACCAAAATAGTGGCTGTCAAGTTCGTGAACAACGAGAGAATGCTGTACGATTAATGTGCGTTGCTTTGCATTTGGTTTTCTTGACCCCTGTTACCGCTAAGAGGCCGCTCCATTCAAAACGTTCCAACGAAATTCCGTTACGCCCTTTGGTAAAATCACTGCATTGTAGATGTCAATGAAAGACCCAAAAAGATAAACTTTTGCTATGCACAGCATCTCACAGGTTTTTGCTATGCACAGCATCTCACAGGTTTTTATTTGTTTTTCTTTTTCTAAATGCCTGTAAACAATGTATTAAAAGTGTTGCTGATTTTAAGTAGGCGGTGAGAGATCCCGTGATCGCCCTTCACTGCCCTTGACTTCAATTAAAGTTTCTCAACATTGCAAATGCCTCCGTAAATATGTTGTCCCTTATTTAAATTATACAGGATACTACGTTCATGCACTAGTAGTGGTGCCTGTGATCAGCATGCCTACGCTATAAACCCGCCAATCTTAGCTCAATTTACAACCACGGCTAACATGAGTGGCGAGCGATTTCTGAACTGGTCCTGGGCATCCACACCTTAACTCCTTGAGCCCTGAAAGACCATCTTGGTGAAGTATGGTCAAATAACATTGTGGGGAGGTGTTCATCCAGCAGTGGATTCATGAAGGGTTTACACACGTGTTCGGTGGAACCTTGCTGAGAAGCGCTGGATAAGGTATTAAAATTGGTTTGTGTTCACCGTTGTGGTGTTGTGTATGCTCTCCATTTGACCGTTTACTGTTGGCCATACCGCCAACCCCCCAGCTGCCCGTGCAGTGAGCAGGGAGTGCAATACAAAGAACCATTCTCATGTATTCTAGATTTGAAGCTTTCGTGACAGCAAGGATTCATACTCTGGTTTTTTCGGTAAAGTCACGTAGATAAAATAAAATAAATGAAAACAACTAAATTAAATCACGATGTTTCGGAGGCAACACAAGCTTCCGTCTTCAGGTGGAACAGACGCAGCAAAATTAGCTGTATCAAGTGAACAGCTCTGGGACACACTAGATTATATACAGGTTAAGGGGGGGGGAGCCAGGAAGGGACGTGGGTGGCGAGGGGGGGGCTACGTTAAGCCGCCTTTTGTTATTCTGCAGGGGGTTCTGGTGGAGGCGGTGGTGTACTTGCACGTAAAACCACCTTTTGTTATGCTGCAGGGGGTTCGGGGGGAGGTTGATGGCGTGCTGCACGAGAGCGAGTACAATCCTGGTAGAAACGAAAATAGCTGTATAATTATAAGCCAGCTAAATTGATGACTTGGTTAATGACATTTCCAAAAGATGCTCAATTTAAAACCATCCTTTCGGTTGAAGTTGTGTCTGTGTGTGTATATCTGGATGGCTTTATGGACAAGCAGGATTGTACTCGCTCTCGTGCAGCACGCCATCACCCGAACCCCCTGCAGCATAACAAAAGGTGGTTTTACGTGCAAGTACACCACCGCCTCCACCAGAACTCCCTGCAGAATAACAAAAGGCGGCTTAACTTAGCCCCCCCCCCTTAACCTGTATATAATATCGTGTGTCCCAGAGCTATTCACTTGATACAGCTAATTTTGCTGTGTCTGTTCCACCTAAAGACGGAAGCTTGTGTTGCCTCCGAAACGTCGTGATTTAATTTAGTTTTCATTTATTTTATTTTACCTACGTGACTTTACCGAAAAAACCAAAGAGTATGCATTCTCATGTATTTACAAAGTACTTGCATGGCCATGGCTGGATGTAATGCATTTTTGTGATTTCAGCAGTTGGCTTAAGTCGTATAAATATGACAAACCAAGGGAATAGTTTGTATTTGCTGAACAGGAGTAAAAATAGAATTGTCGGCCAGCTGTGCTTAGGAAAGTCCACTATTCATAACAAGCGTTATTTTAATGTTTTTCTCAACGTTCCAACTCGGATCCAATGAGATGAGGATGTGGCTCTTTTGTTATTTTGTTTTGTCACCTACACTATTATAATTACTGGTGCTGTTTTAGTTGTGCAATATATTTGAGTGGAGTGGTTTTATTTTCTTCGAAGCAATCTGTGTTTCGGCGAGAATTTGGTGGTGGTGAAGATGAGATTGATTTTCACCTTTTTTGCGACAACCCCTCAATTTTCCATCGCAAAGTTTACCGTAACGTTTCGGATTCCACATCTATTATTACAACAAATACCACGGGCTTCTTCGCTAAATCACCCTCCGTTCAATTTAAAGGAATTAAAAACAATTGTCATCGTCTTTCTTGTACTTTCAGCCGAATGTGCTGCTGTTGGTCTTGCGTGTTCTTGCTCGTAAAGGGTCGTAAGTGGCGCAGGGGTTCTGCTGCTGCCGCTGTTTGCCCTGCGATTGCACGCACTGTTTGGCCAAAGCCCCAAGGGCCTCCCCATTCAAACAAAAGCCGGGCATGCTGGCGTTAGAGTTCCAGAGTGAAAAGCTGGGGGGGATTATCCACCGCGTATCCCAGGGCCACCACGCTGTAAATATTTGCATTTCAATACCTGGTAACGCGGGCAGGCGGGCGGGCCACAGAGTTGAGGGACTCCGCCATCGTTGCCGTCGCCTTTTTTTGCGATCGGCGCGTCCCCTGTTCCATCGCTAGCTTTAGACTAAAAGCATCGCTTTGCTTTTTTCTAAGTTGTTGCGCGCTATCCCGTGCGTGGCTTACGCGGTGCTCTTAACGCCATGCGGAGTTTGTGTCCCAAACTTTGACCTTGGTTTTCGTGGATGAAAAGGGACGCATCATGGCAGCGGCGTACTACTACAGGCCACACACAGCTCCTGTAAGTCCTCTTTGCCTTGAACACACGCTGTGTGAATTTTCGCCATGAAGGCGACTATTAATTAACATAAGAGTGACTTGTTTAGCTCTGCAGACTATATAATGTAGACATTTGAACAGAATGTGTGCATACCCTCTTCAAAAAATATAACACTTCGGTGTAGTAGCTGCTGTTTGTTTTTAAATGTTAATCCGTATCTAACTTCAATTAACGTATGGAATGAAGCCCGGATGTGAACGTATGTTCAGTTTTCTCTGGGCCACTCCTGATTTGACCTGAACGGAGCAAAACACTGCTTTCTCATGACAACCATTGATACTCATCACCACTGTAGGATGTTTTAGAATGATGAAGGCTTAAGATCCACTTAATGTAACACAATAAATTATTTATTTAAAATATCGGCTGGGGTTCCACTTTGTGGGTTTTCTCGATGCAACCAGACCACGCGAGACGGTCGTCGCATGCGAGTATTTATATCATACTGCAGGCTAAAACCCCTTTTTACGTTTGTTGCCCTGGAATCCCCGATTTGGGAATTCCCTCCCATCTGTTTTCCACAATCCTCCACAATTCAATAAACATTTGCCATATTCTCCAAGCTTGTTCGTAAAACTCTTTATATATAAAAATGGAATTTGCCTATCACTCCGGGTTTGGTACACGTTTTCTGTTTTTCACCCTCTTTCGGAATGTACTTTGTATTCTGGATTCTTTAATGACTTAAAAAAATAAACAAATCTGCCAAGCATCCCAATGCTGAACCCTCCAGAATACAAGACTTGAGTCTCGGTAATGCTACGCATGGCAATATGGTGAAACAGAAAGCCCTCCCGTGGTCGGTTTTGTGTAGCTGTGCCAGGGCAAGCCTTGCTATGGCACGGCCTGGCAGGAAAACATTTGCCGCTTGTTGCAGAGGCTCCACGGCTCAAACACAGTGGTCGCCCTGATTTATTGCTGCTGTGCGTAATAATTATAATAATGCTACCCTGACGTCATTTGCAAGACTTGGTCGGCCATTTGCGTGTGGGCTGGCGTGGGGGGGCCAAACATGTCCAATTAAAAACGTACCTGCTGGTTACGCACTTTGGGATTGGATGCGGCAATCGTCGCCCCCTACCGGCAGACTAATGGATTTGCAGGCCTGATGAAGACTCGCGCCCACAGGGTCAGCTGTTACTGGGGGTGCACTTTTCAAGTATGAGAGATGAGATGTGACATAAAGCACTCTGAGATGCCCCGATGTATAAGGCGCTACATAAAAAGTAATAATATTGATAATTGTCGGCTTGATGCTCACCGCTCTGACACGCGTAGTTGCGGGAGAGCCCGGATTTGCCACCGCACGACGCACTCAGCCGAATTCTGCCAGAGTACGAGCATCTCTTCCGGGCCCACGGGAACCCTGTGCCAGCGCCGGTAGTACCGGCAGCACGGATGGGGTCCAAGAGCCAGGGCGGCTCGACTGCACGGCACACTCTTCCGCCACAGCCAACCAGCACAGCTGAGTAAGAGTTTGCTTCATTTGAATGGGTAAAAGTGCAGCCCTTGAATTTCTTACGCTGCCGCTGCTAGCGGAAGGGTCTCGACAAGAAAAGATCTTGAGAGGCCCTCCACAGGTATTTTTGGCCTTCCACGCTGGCCAGACTTCTTGGAAGAGGTGGGAGTTTCTCCACTTTATCCAACCGAACTCGAATTGCCTATCGCGTGTCTATATGCATATTAAACTTCTTTCCCACCATACATAGCTAGCCGTGCTAATCCGAGGTACATTAATCTACCCTTTTGTGCTGCTGGATAGACGGAGGCAGGGATGATATTAGAAGCGTGCACCTTTTTTCAGTGTGGTTCCGATGATAATTGGTGAACTGGACTACATTGAAAATCAAGGCAAGAATTTCACTAATTTTAATTTGGTGCGATATGAACCAAAGGTGAAGTGATGGCTGCTCGGTTGCTCATGGCCTTCCTCCAGCAGTGGATTGATCATGGCTGATGATAATGATGGTGGAGGATGAATGCATGAAGGTTTTTTTAAATAAATTGAACATTGTTTTAAATGTTTTACAAAATACAACTGCCATGACATCTTGGGCAAATCTATGGTCACAGGCGTCATCGTTTCTAACCGATTATGAAATTTAAAAATAACGCACTGCTGACGTAGGCAGCACAGCCCCCAGGTGACCGTAACATGGTCGGCTCGGAGATCTCGAGTAGCAAACACGGGGGGGCGGGCGAGTGTTGTGTTTGTGGAGGTGATGCGAGCGATATCTCTGTCTCAGGAGGATGGATCCCCACAGCTCCGTCGTCTTGGACTACCAAACCAAGGTACGTTGGCATGTTGTTGGAACTGTAGGATCAACATTTGCCCAACGTTGGCCCAAAGTTGCATGTATAATGGGGGGGTGCCCACCCACCCTGCGGCTTGCCTCCCATAACGTGCGACCCCTGAGTACAGTACAATATAATATGCAATTAATTTAGTAAGCATCTCAATGTTTACGTCTCGAGACTTAAGGTAATTTTTGCATTGTCTGACTCGAAGCAAGTCTTGATGTTCGGCGAGTGCCCTGCTTTAGGCCAGTTTCCCACTTTAGTTCAGTACCTCGGTTTAGGCCAGTGTCCCGCTTTAAATCAGTGCCTTGCATTAGGCTATTGTCCCACTTTAGGTCAGTGCATTGCTTCACTGCAGTGTCCCACTTTAGGCCAATGCTCAGCTTTAGGCCAGTGTTCCACTTTAGTCCAGTAGTCAGCTTTAGACCAGTGGTCGTCTTTAGGCCAGTGCCTCGCTTTATGCCAGTGACCCGCTTTAGGCCTGTAGCCATCTTTACGTCATTCTCCCACTTTAGCACAGTGGTCAGTTTTAGGTCAGTGTCCCACTTTAGGACATCTGTCAGATTTAAGTCAGCGGTCAACTTTAGGTCAGTGCCTGACTTTAGTCAAGTTTCCCACTTTAGGCAAGTGTCCCACTTTCCGACAGTGCCTCATTTTGGGCCAGTGTCCCACTTTAGGACAGTGTCCCACTTTAGGCCAGTCATCCACTTTAGGCTAATGGCCATCTTTAGGTCAGTGGCCCACTTTATCCCAGTAGTCAGCTTTAGGCCAGGGCCTCACTTTCAGCCAGTTATCAGCTTTCGTCCAGTGCCTCGGTTTAGGCAAGCGTCACACATTAGGGCAGTGGTGAGCTTTAGACCAGGATCCCCCTTTTGGCCAGTGTCCAACTTTAGGACACTGGTCAGCTTTAGGCCATTGTCTCGCTTTATGCCAGTGGTCAGCTTTAGGCCAGTATTCCACTTGAGGCTTGTGTCCCACTTTAGGCCATTTGTCAGCCATAGGTCAACTTTAGGCCAGTTCCTCATTTTAGTCCAGTTTCCCACTTTATGCTAGTGTCCCACTTTGGGACAGTGCCTGACATTAGGCCATTGTCCCACTTTAGGGCACTGCATTGCTTCACTACAGTGTCCCACCATAGGCCCATGGTCAGCTTTCGGCTAGTGGCCATCATTCGATCATTGTCCCACTTTAGGCCAGTGGTTAGCTTTAGGCAGTGTCCCACTTTAGGCCAGTGTCCCACTTTAGGCCAGTGCCTCACTTTCAGCCAGTGATCAGTTTTAGGCCATTGCCTCGCTTTAAGCCAGCGTCCCACATTAGGCCAGTGTCCCACTTTAGGCCAGTGTCCCACTCTAGGCCAGTGCCTCACTTTCAGCCAGTGATAAGTTTTAGGCCATTGCCTCGCTTTAAGCCAGTGTCCCACTTTAGGCCAGTGTCCCACTTTCAGCCAGTATCCTACTTTAGGCCAGTGCCTCACTTTAGGCCAGTGTCCCACTTTAGGCCAGTGTCCCACTTTAGGCCAACATCCCCCTTTAGGCCAGTGTCCCACTTTAGGCCAACATCCCCCTTTATGCCAGGTTTCAGCTTTATGTTAGTGTCCCACTCTAGGCCAGTGCCTCACTTTAGGTCAGTGCCTCATTTTAGGTCATTGTCCCACTTTAGGCCAGTGGTCAGCTTTAATCCTGTGTCCCACTTTCGGCCAGTGGTCAGCTTTAGCCGAGTGGTCAGTTTTAGCCAGTGGTCAGCTTTAAGCCAGCGTTCAACTTTAGGCCGGTGTCCCACTTTAGGCCAGTGTCCCACTTTGGGCCAGGACCTCACTTTCAGCCAGTGATCGGTTTTAGGCCATTGCCTCGCTTTAAGCCAGCATCCCACTTTAGGCCAGTGTCCCACTTTTGGCTAGTATCCTACTTTAGGCCAGTGTCCCACTTTAGGCCAGTGTCCCACTTTAGGCCAACATCCCCCTTTAGGCCAGTGTCCCACTTTAGGTCAACATCCCCTTTTAGGCCAGTGTCCCACTTTAGGCCAACATCCCCCTTTAGGCCAGTGTCCAACTTCAGGTCAGTGATCAGCCTTAGGCCAGTGCCTCACTTTCAGCCAGTGATCAGCTTTAGGCCAGTGCCTCGCTTTAGGCCAATGTGTCCCCCTTTAGGCCAGTGGTCAGTTTTAGGCCAGTGTCCCACTTTAGGCCAGTGTCCCAATTTAGGCCAGTGCCTCACTTTCAGCCAGTGATCAGTTTTAGGCCATTGCCTCCCTTTAAGCCAGTGTCCTACTTTAGGCCAGTGTCCCACTTTAGGTCAGTGTCCCATTTTATGCCAGTGTCCCACTTTAGCCCAGTGTCCCACTTTAGGCCAACATCCCCCTTTAGGCCAGTGTCCAACTTCAGGTCAGTGATCAGCTTTAGGCCAGTGCCTCACTTTCAGCCAGTGATCAGCTTTAGGCCAGTGCCTCGCTCTAGGCCAATGTGTCCCCCTTTAGGCTAGTGGTCAGTTTTAGGACAGTGTCCCACTTTAGGCCAGTGTTCCAATTTAGGCCAGTGTCCCGCTTTAGGCCAGTATCCCACTTTAGTCCAGTGCCTCACTCTAGGCTAGTGGTCAGTTTTATGCCAGTGTTCAACTTTAGTACAATGCCTCACTTTAGGCCAGTGTCCCACTTTAGGCCAGTGGTCATCTTTAGGCCAGTGTCCCTTTTTAGTCCAAAGGTCAGTTTTAGATCAGTGTCCCACTTTAGCCCAGTGGTCAGCTTTAAGCCAGTGCCTCACTTTAAGCCAGTGATCAGCTTTAGGCCAGTGCCTCACTTTAGGTCAGTGCCTCATTTTAGGTCATTGTCCCACTTTAGGCCAGTGGGCAGCTTTAATCCTGTGTCCCACTTTCGGCCAGTGGTCAGCTTTAGCCGAGTGGTCAGCTTTAGCCCAGTGGTGAACTTTAAGCCAGCATTCAACTTTAGGCCAGTTTCCCATTTTAGGCCAGTGTCCCACTTTCGGCCAGTGTCCCACTTTAGGCCAATGCCTCACTTTCAGCGAGTGATCAGTTTTAGGCCATTGCCTCACTTTAAGCCAGCATCCCAATTTAGGCCAGTGGTCAGCTTTAGGCCAGTGTCCCACTTTAGGCCAGTGCCTCACTTTCAGCCAGTGATCAGTTTTAGGCCATTGCCTCGCTTTAAGCCAGCATCCCACTTTAGGCCAGTGGTCAGCTTTAGGCCAGTGTCCCACTTTAAGCCAATATCCCGCTTTAGTCCAGTGTCCCACTTTAGGTCGGTGTCCCGCTTTAGGCCAGTGTCCCGCTTTAAGCCAGTGTCCCGCTTTAGGCCAGTGTCCCGCTTTAGGCCAGTGTCCCACTTGAGGCTAGTGGTCAGCTTTCGGTTATTGTTCCAATTTAGATCAGTACCTCACTTTAGGTTAGTGTCACACTTTAGGCCAGTGGTCAGCTTTAGGCCAGTGTCCCACTTTAGGCCAGTATCCCGCTTTAGTCAAGTGCCTCACTTTAGGCCAGTGGTCAGTTTTAGGCCAGTGTTCAACTTTAGTACAATGCCTCACTTTAGGCAAGTGTCCCGCTTTAGACCAGTGGTCAGCTTTAAGCCAGTGCGTCGCTTTAGGCCTGTGTCCCCCTTTAGGCCAGGTTTCAGCTTTAGGTTAGTGTCCCACTCTAGGCCAGTGCCTCACTTTAGGTCAGTGCCTCATTTTAGGTCATTGTCCCACTTTAGGCCATTGGTCAGCTTTAAGCCAGCGTTCAACTTTAGGCCAGTGTACCACTTTAGGCCAGTGTCCCACTTTAGCCCAGTGGTCATCTTTAATCCGGTGTCCCAGTTTCGGCCACTGGTCAGCTTTAGGCCAGTGGTGAGCTTTAGGCCTGTGTCCTCCTTTAGGCCAGTTTCAGCTTTAGGCTAGTGTCCCACTTTATGCCATTGGCCAGCTTTTGGTCAGTGCCTTGCTTTAAGCCAGTGTCCCACTTTAGGCCAGTGGTCAGCTTTAGGTTAGTGTCCCACTTAAGGCAAGTCTCCCACTTTAGGCCAGTGATCAGTTTTAGGCCAGTGGTCAGCTTTAGTCCAGCGTCCCCCTTACGGAAAATGTCCCACTTTAGGCCTTTGGTCAGTTTTAGGCCAGTGTCCCACTTTAGGCCAGTGCCTTGCTTTAGCCCAGTGGTCAGCTTTAGGCCATTGGTCAGCTTTAGGCCAGTTGGCCCCCCGCTCTTAAGGCCAGTGTTTGCGCTCGAAGAAGATGGGGCCCAGATGTGCCATGACGTCCCCCCGCGTTGCCGTCGTGGCAGGAGCTGGACGGCTACCGCTCGGTCCTGCGCAAGATGGCCGACGACATCCTGGCATTGCGGCGCGAGGTGGGGCGCCTGGAGAGCGAGAACAGCCGCCTGCGAAGCGAGATGAGCCTGCACCGCGAGGCCGGGCGCGCCCTGCTCGCTGACGCCGACCTTGACGTCATGACCAAGAGCGAGCTCGCCGACCGGCTTGGTACGAGCCTCGTTGCGGGTGGTGATTTTTCACTGAAGCGTCATTCGCGTAAAATGCGTTGACGAGCGCACGTCCACGCATGTACATTCGTGCATGCACGAGAAAACCATGGCGGGAAGCCACGGCGGCTGGGAGCCAGCCAGAATCGGCTCTAACAATTTCCCAAGTTCTGTTGGGTCTACTTTGGGGGTGTTTGGCCAACTTTATGCGAGTGGTTAGCTTTATGCGTGTGGGAGGAAGCCGGACTACCCAGAAAAATATGTACAGAACAAGGGGAGAGCACAGAGACTCCACACTGAAAGGAGCCCAATTTAGTAATCCAACTCAGGTCTGTCCTGCTGTGAGGCACACGTGTTACCACTGCCACCCTGCCTCCATTATTTTTTTCTATGAAATTGATCACCAAAATCAATGGGTTTTTTCTTTTCTTTATTTTAGTCATCGACGGGCTGTGAGTTGATGAAAATAATCAAGCACAAATATAACTACGGCTACCCACAAGTTATCAAAGAAAGACAAAGACCGAGATAATTTAGTCACGTTATTGGAGACAGCAGCAGATTCCTGGTGACTAAACAAACTCCTCGCGACAGATACCTGAACCAAAAATAAAACAAATACAGTGTGCGATAGGTGACGTTTTGGGAAATGGGGCCTTCTTCATAGCACTTGAGGTTCTATGGAGCAGGGCCATCATGGATGAGTGTAAATGTAACAGACAGCCTGCGGCACACAGTACGTGTGCTGATCTGTCAGATATTGGCCACATGCTGTGTGATTTTGCGTTTCTAATTGAAGCCGGATAGAAATAAAATTACTTGAAAGTGGAAATGTTCCACTTTTGAATCTGAAGACAAATGCTCGTTATTTTAGTTATTTTTTTTAAATAAGACCGGGTATATATTAAGTAGTATTACATCACTGTGCTATCTATGAACCCGGCGACCTAAGTTTGATTCCCAACTACGATCGCTGAACTGATCCTGGGCTTTCCGTTCGCCAACCTGCACTGACGAAGATGGTGGCACACGGTCAAACAACCCTGACTGCCACAAGGGGTGGGGAGGCCTTCATTTACCAGTGGATTGCTTGATATCTATAAAGTATATTCTTAGCTCTTCCGGTAAAGTCACGTTGAAGGGAAACAACAAAATAATAAAATATATATAAAACAATAAAAATTATCACGACGTTTCGACCAGAACACAAACGGTCGTCATCAGGTGTGTCGGTTTGCATTTAGCTATTTTTTATGTATCTATTTATTTATTAACGGTTTACTTACTTATAAAAAACGTCAGCGCCACGCGCAGTGATTTGGCAGTTTATTTAGAAGGACTAGTCCATCTGTGTTCTGAAAAGAGGAGGGGGGAGATGAAAAATTAATGTATGCTGTCTGAAAGCCACTGAACAATCAATTAAGACCAGAAATGGTTTATCAAATCTTTCCAATGATTGCTAAGCCAGAATCCATCTTCTCGGTTGAAATTGTCTCTGTGCTTGTATATGTGGATAGCTTCATGAACGAATCTCTCATGGTAGCCAGATGGCTTACAAAGAACCTCTGTCTTGGAAAAGTCAATGTCATGTGAGCCTACTGAATTATAACAATGATCTGCCACGGCTGAGGTGTTGGTCCTACCGTGTTTAAGGTCTGCTTTGTGTTCACGAATGCGGTCCGAGACATGGTGTTTGGTTTCTCCAATGTAACTACTACCACAGAGGCAACTTAGTTTGTAGACACCAGGGTACTGTATGTCCGGAATCACATCTCTTACAGACGGAACCAGATCACGGATTTTATGTAATGTGTTGAAACGGACCTGGATCTTGTGTTTATTCAAGATTTTGGAGATCTTTTTTGTGATCCCCGCAATGTAGGGTAAAGTGATGGTTTTGAAAGGCTCCTCAAGAGGGTCCTTCTTCATGGTTTGAGTGATAGCTTTGCGGATTGTATAGTCGGAATAACCATTAGCCTTAAGAGCTTCGTGTACGTGCTTGAGTTCACTGCCTATGTGTTTCTGGTCGGATATGCATTGGGCTCTATGGTACAGAGTCTTGATGAGAGAATTCTTCTGTGATGGATGGTGGTGGGAATCCGTTTTCAGATAAGCATCCGTATGGGTAGCTTTCCTGTAGACAGAGTGGTTCATTGAACCATCAGGTCTCTTTATTATTAAGACATCCAAAAAAGGTAGCCAGCCATCTTTTTTGACTTCCATGGTAAATCTGATGGCTGGGTGTATGGAATTGATGTGGTCGAAGAATTGGTCTAGAGCAGGCCGGCCATGTGGCCAGATGACAAAAGTGTCATCCACGTACCTCTTCCATAAGGTTGGGCGCAGAGTGGCAGTCTGGATGGCGTCAGTCTCAAATTTCTCCATGAAAATGTTAGCTATAACCGGAGAAAGGGGGGAGCCCACTGAGGTGCCCTCAGTTTGTTTGTCGAAAGTTCCATTCCAAGTGAAGTATGTATTGGTTAAACAGTGTCTCACCAGGGGGGGTACCTCAGTGTTTAGTCCATGGTGAACCAAGTCTTCATAGATTGCGATGGTGTCAAGTACAGGAACCTTGGTGAATAAGGAAACTACATAAAAACTGACAAGCAGGTCGTCTGGGGACAGGGAAATACCCTTGATTGTCGATACCAGGTGAGTAGAATTTTGTACCGCAGAGGTGGTTTTTCCAGTGAAAGGACGCAGGATTTCAGACAAAATAATTTCTGATTCAACCGCATTAATTGATCAATCTAAACAGTTTTCGTTGAAACCTTCTGCTGCCAGGCCACCAAGATTATACGGCTTACCAAAAATACATAAAGTAGATAGACCCCTTCGTCCCATCGTCTCTACTATCAACTGCCCCACCTACAAACTGGCTCGTTTTTTGTCTGAAATCCCGCGTCCTTTCACTGGAAAAACCACCTCTGCGGTACAAAATTCTACTCACCTGGTATCGACAATCAAGGGTATTTCCCTGTCCCCAGACGACCTGCTTGTCAGTTGTGATGTAGTTTCCTTATTCACCAAGGTTACTGTACCTGACACCATCGCAATCATTGAAGACTTGGTTCATCAAGGACTAAACACTGAGGTACCCCCCCTGGTGAGACACTGTTTAACCAATGCATACTTCACTTGGAATGGAACTTTCTACAAACAAACTGAGGGCACCCCAATGGGCTCCCCCCTTTCTCCGGTTATAGCTAACATTTTCATGGAGAAATTTGAGACTGATGCCATCCAGACTGCCACTCTGCGCCCAACCTTATGGAAGAGGTACGTGGATGACACTTTTGTCATCTGGCCACATGGCCGGCCTGCTCTAGACCAATTCTTTGACCACATCAATTCCATACGCCCAGCCATCAGATTTATCATGGAAGTCGAAAAAGATGGCAAGCTACCTTTTTTGGATGTCCTAATAAAAAAGAGACCTGATGGTTCAATGAGCCACTCTGTCTACAGGAAAGCTACCCATACGGATGTTTATCTGAAACCGGATTCCCACCACCATCCATCACAGAAGAATTCTCTCATCAAGACTCTGTACCATAGAGCCCAATGCATATCCGACCAGGAACACATAGGCAGTGAACTCAAGCACGTACACCAAGCTCTTAAGGCTAATGGTTACTCCGACTATACAATCCGCAAAGCTATCACTCAAACCATGAAGAAGGACCCTCTTGAGGAGCCTTTCAAAACCATCACTTTACCCTACATTGCGGGGATCACAAAAAATATCTCCTAAATCTTGAATAAACACAAGATCCAGGTCCGTTTCAACACATTACATAAAATCCGTGATCTGGTTCCGTCTGTAAAAGATGTGATTCCGGACATACAGTACCCTGGTGTCTACAAACTAAGTTGCCTCTGTGGTAGTAGTTACATTGGAGAAACCAAACACCATGTCTCGGACCGCATTCGTGAACACAAAGCAGACCTTAAATACGGTAGGACCAACACCTCGGCCGTGGCAGATCATTATTATAATTCAGTAGGCTCACATGACATTGACTTTTCCAAGACAGAGGTTCTTTGTAAGCCATCTGGCTACCATGAGAGATTCGTTCATGAGGCTATCCACATATACAAGCACAGAGACAATTTCAACCGAGAAGATGGATTCTGGCTTAGCAATCATTGAAAAGATTTGATAAACCATTTCAGGTCTTAATTGATTGTTCAGTGGCTTTCAGACAGCATACATTAATTTTTCGTCTCCCCCCTCCTCTCTTCAGAACATAGATGGACTAGTCCTTCTAAATAAACTGCCAAATCGCTGCGCGTGGCGCTGACGTTTTTTTATAACGAAATAAACCGTTTAAAAATAAATTAATTAATGCAAACCGACACACCTGATGACGACCGTTTGTGTTATGGTCTCGAAACGTCGTGAGAATTTTTATTGTCTTCTTTGGTTCTTTCGGTAAAGTCACGTAGAATGAGAATAAAATAATAAATTGATAAAATAAAATAACACAATAATATTCTCACGACGTTTCGGCCACAACACAAGCGGCCTTCATCAGGTGAAGGGACGAGACTGTCTGGTAGGACAGCGCTGGCGTGAAAGAGCCACGTTCAGATCACGGCCTTTAAGCTGTGTGAGAGGAACAAAGCGCCTTGACAAAGGAATTAGCATATAATTTAGCATTGAAATGGCTGAATGATTAGCTTGTGACTGGTCACAGAAATAGCTATGTTAAAAGTTAAAGCATACACATCCGCAGAGGCACCCCTTGTTAAAGGAATTAGCATGGAATTTAGCATTGAAATAGCTGAGTGATTAGCTTGTAACTGCTCACAGAAATAGCTACGTTAAAGTCAGAGCATACACATTCACCGAGGCACTTAGTACAAATCAAACAGGAGAATTTCGCATTGAAATAACTAGGCGAATTTAGCATTGAAATATCTGAGTGATTAGCTAGTGACTGGTCACAGAAATGACTATGTTGAAGTCAAGGCCTACACATCTGAGCTATTCACAGTACTATATAGTGAACCAATAAAAACTAAAATATAAATTACCTTCATGTTATCAATAAACTCTATATTCTCCAATCAGCTAAGCTACCAACAATAAGTCGTTATATATCACAATGCTATATGGCGAAAAAATGGGTGGATTCTTACCCTCAAATTTCAGCACCACGGATAACTACGGGCCCCGTTCAGATGGACGAGTTCGTCCATGGTCGGAACAGAGGAGGGGGAGAGAGACAGCTTAGAGTCGCGCTGTCTCTCTCCCCCTCCTCTGTTCCGACCATGGACGAACTCGTCCGTCTGAACGGGGCCCGTAGCTATCCGTGGTGCTAAAGTTGAGGGTAAGAATCCACCTATTTTTTCGCCATATAGCATTGTGATATATAACGACTTATTGTTGGTAGCTTAGCTGATTGGAGAATATAGAGTTTATTGATAACATTAAGGTAATTTATATTTTAGTTTTTATTGGTTCACTATATAGTACTGTGAATAGCTCAGATGTGTAGGCCTTGACTTCAACATAGTCATTTCTGTGACCAGTCACTAGCTAATCACTCAGTTATTTCAATGCTAAATTCGCCTAGTTATTTCAATGCTAAATTCTCCTGTTTGATTTGTACTAAGTGCCTCGGTGAATGTGTATGCTCTGACTTTAACGTAGCTATTTCTGTGAGCAGTTACAAGCTAATCACTCAGCTATTTCAATGCTAAATTCTATGCTAATTCCATTGTCAAGGGGTGCCTCTGCGGATGTGTATGCTTTAACTTAGCTATTTCAATGCTAAATTCTATGCTAATTCCTTTAAAAAGGGGTGCCTCTGCGGATGTGTATGCTTTAACTTTTAACATAGCTATTTCTGTGACCAGTCACAAGCTAATCATTCAGCCATTTCAATGCTAAATTATATGCTAATTCCTTTGTCAAGGCGCTTTGTTCCTCTCACACAGCTTAAAGGCCGTGATCTGAACGTGGCTCTTTCACGCCAGCGCTGTCCTACCAGACAATCTCGTCCCTTCACCTGATGAAGGCCGCTTGTGTTGTGGCCGAAACGTCGTGAGAATATTATTGTGTTATTTTATTTTATCAATTTATTATTTTATTCTCATTCTACGTGACTTTACCGAAAGAACCAAAGAAGATGAATCATTGCAGTCACGAAAGCTTTAAATCGAAATTTTTATTGTTTTATATATATTTTATTATTTTGTTGTTTCCCTTCAACATGACTTTACCGAAAGAGCTAAGAATATGAATTACTGCAGTCACGAAAGCTTTAAATCAAAATCTATAAAGTAGTATTAGTTTTAATAAATACAATGCACGAGACTTGCATAACAACACCTCCAATAATCTGGGTGATGTTTGAATGGGTGGTCGCCTTGCATGACCGGTGTTATAGGCTATATATTGCAAGGCAGTATGGACAGCATAGGACAGTGCAGCAGAATCCATTGTTTAACTGCACTTCTTTGCTACCCACCTGCACCAACACTGAACGGCATGAAGAACTGCCAGATAACCCCACGACTCACGTGGCGTTGGGGGGGGAGGCATTCATCCAGCAGTGTATTGATAATGGACTATATGCTTCCCAGTGTCCCTGAAGCAGAAGGTGGCGATGGACACGCGGGACATGAAGGGCTACAAGGACAAGGTGCAGCAGCTGCAGAATGAGCTCATCAGGGTGAGTGGCCATGTGAGCAGATAAAATAGAGTACTCGAGTCGAGGTGGCCGGGTGGCTCCAGGGTCAAAGCATTGAGCCCCGGCCAATGAGATCCTGGTTTTGAATTCTAGTGTCTGCCACCTGTTGTTAAACTGAAAACTCAAAACGTTTGTCAATAACACTGTGGAGGAGGCTTGTGAAGGACGCTACTGGGCAGTTGGAGGCAGTTGCCCTCCAACAACAACTGAGGGCAGAGGAGCAATGCTCGCAACAATGAGCGGAGCGCCGGGCAGCTAAAACACAGCAAATTGGCACAGTAGGGGGCACAGCCGGTGCATCTGCCAGTCATCTCAAGTCAGTCAACCCATGGCACCCGGGTCTGTCTCGTGACCTGTCAGCGAGCCTTCGACACTTCACGTTATGGCCTCAGAGGGCACCTGGCCTGGCACAAGCGCCATGGTGACGTCACCGCCACTTAGTGGTGAATGGTGGCTGTTGTTGTTGTGGGGCCTTAAAAGGATACAAGAAAAGGTGACGTTTTGTGCAATATACCTTTTTTAATACGCAGTTTTGTTCGTATTAATTTGCAGCGGTACCTTGGTATACGTCGTTAATTCGTTCCAGAAGGTAGGACTTATACCGAAAATGACGTATACCAAACTAATTTTTCCCATAAGAAATAAAGGGAAAGGAAATAATCCATTCCAGAGTATAAGAAATGATATTTTATATGGCATATTATACATTAATGGGGTTGTATAAAATAATTTAGACGGTACTTATTACTAAAATGCATATATAAATTAAAATAAATGCATAAATAAATTAAAATAAATTGAAATAAAAATAAAATTTTACATCACTTTACCTTGCTGAGAGGAGTTGATAGCCAGGCCTCTTCTTAAAATTATCAAACCAGCCATGGCTGGCTTTAAACACTTCACTAATATCTTCACTCGTTCCTGGCATGTCTTTTAAAAGGTCAGCATGTAACATTTTTGCCTTCTCACAAATTATAGCCTCTGAAACACTATCGCCGGCTAACTGTTTTTTGTTTATCCATATTAATAATAATTTTTCTACTTACTCTAATGTCCGTGATCTTTGTTTTTATATACATTTCACCCCCTTTGCAACGTTCGCTGATTTGATGGCTTTTTTTTTCTTCACAATCGTCGAAATTGGTGATCTCGGCATACGGTATACCACCGCAAGATCAGTGACGCTTTCATACTTTTCTATGATCTCTTTTATCACGTCAATAGTGATCCTAACCATTTTCTTTGTAGCTTGGCTTTTCTCACTAACCTTCTTAGGACCCATCTTGAATGAATTCGCAAAAAAATAACGTTAAAATGACAAAAAAAAACACGTGAAAATTCACAGAGAGTTATAGCAAGGATTGTGCACTGAACGAGATCTACTGTACAGGCAGACTGAGGAGCGGCGCTTTGTTTCAGTCGTGAACGGAGTATACGCAGGTACGCGGTGACTCATCCCGACCCATACAAGTTCTAGCAAGCGCGTCGTAGTCCAAGACATTTTTTTCTCGTCAAAACACAACGTATACCAAATTCGACGTTTTTCAAAGTGGTCGTATACCGAGGTATGACTGTATTTAAGTGCCATGAAGAAGGGCCAATTGTCAGAAAAGTCACCACACCGTGTTATGTGTACTTGTGCAGCACTGCAAATGCAGCAGCAGCATCGCCAAATGATTCGACAAAATTGGGTTATCGAGTGTAGTGAGTTGACTCTCCAGTTTCGGATGACTCCGGTGAAAAACCACGAATTTAATTCCGCAGATTCCAGGCCTGATTTTGAAACTTGGTTTGACAGGAAAAAAAGATATTTTCGGAGGGCATATTAAAAGTGAGCCCCGAGTGTGGATAAAGAGCACGACTGAAGTGATACTAAAAGTAGTTGAGTGGCATTCATTTCCTGGAGGCTACTCTCTCACATAGAGTGGTGCACTGCTCACTGGCAGTTTTAAATGTAAAGTTCGTCATCTCATATATGGCTCTGGCCCACAACCACATGGGGCCTACCACTTCAAACAGGCCCCCTGGCCAATATGTATCCATCACTGCAAGCATCTTAGCCACAGTAATCTGAACTTTGAACTGAAACTTAACTTTTTATTTTACTACGTAAGGCCCACTGAGCTCTGTAGCTCTTTTTCAGAAGTGGCCTATCACAAAGGGGCTTATCATGGAAAATGTCCACCCTACTCCGATTCCCTCAAAGAAGTGCCCCGATCGCCCTGCCTCAACCAGTGACGTCACCTCTCTCCGTCTGGGCGTTTTCTCTGTCTCTCGCCTCGCCTTCTCTCTCCTTTTCTTCGTGACATCGTCCTAACACTGTAACCTAGGATCCCGTGACTATTTCTACACCCGGATCACGTAAGAATTAGCAATACAAATGTATAGCAGCAACATATTCTAAGCGTATATTTCTAAATGTCGAGTGAAAAATTATGCAACCATGGGGAGAACATGCAACCTCTAAATATACAGCAGGCGTCAGTATCTGGATCGAAATCACAACCTCCTGTATACCAGGAGAGGTAGTTAACATCTCGCCACTGCGGCACCCCTGTATGTATGCCTATGTTTAATCATTTTATAAAACGTGTCTTGACTTGATTACATTTGCCACCCTGGAGCCCATTCGCCACCACAGCGCCGCTATCGGGTACGAGAGAGGAATATTTTCGACCTGGAAACAACGCTGCATTGCTAATTGACGCTATCACTGCAGGGGCCTTTTGTAGTGACAAGTGGCTGAGGTTTGTGCATTCAAATGTGGTTGCCCACAAACGGTATTTGACAGCGCTATTCGGCTCTTGGTAATGAAAATTATCAGCACCTCTGCTCGAACGCAAACTCTGACCTCCTGTCCTCCGATCGCCATGCGGTCGTTTTCGTCGTGACGACTGCAGAAGAACGAGCGAGAGCATGAGCTGCTGCAGCTGCGCCGCGTTCACCAGCAGCAGCAGGCGGCGCTGCACAAGTGTCAGGAGCGAGCGGCACAGGTCAAGCGCCTGGAGGAGACTATACGACAGCAGGAGAAGGTGCGCACCAACGTACACGCACGCATATATATACATTTACATGGGCCCAAAGCACATACTTGTATAGCCTTACCAGACTTTTGGGGCAAGGGCTGTTAGTGAGCACCTATGAAGGCAGTGCTATGCTACGAACCCGTTAAGCCGGGTTAGATTCCGGTTCAGTCAACACCAGTGACGATTATCTGAAACGGTCCTGGGCCTCCTCTAGGTCGACTCAGCCTCAAATGAGTACCTGGTGCGATGTGTAAACATCGTCACTCGGGAGACAAACGCAGTTGGGCATGTGCTGGCCACCCACCCCCTCGTGTATCGTTCCAACCTTCATAGGTGCTCGCACACAGTACACACACATATAAGCTTATGCACGCACGCACACAAATTCACGTGCACGCAGACATGCACGCGCATGCATACAAGTACTGACTCAAGCACATACAAACACACGCATGCATACATATACACGCACACATGTACATACAAATACATGCACATGTGCACACATGCACGTACAAACACACATAAGACAAAGATCCCCCGTATAACCTTTAGCAGACTGTAGGGGCAAGTGCTGTTTGCAAGCATCTATGTGTAGTGATATAGAATCGGTCACGTAGCAGCATAGCGCTGGCTGCTGGCAGGGAAGGGGATCTGCAGTTACAGCAGCCCTGACTGGCAGCAGGCCACGTGATAGACCAGAGAGGGATCTAGGGGAAAGGTTACGGAAGCGTAAGTAGGTTCCAGAAGGGGGCGTGGCCGGGGGCGGAGCCAAGCCTCGCTGACAGTATAAGAGTGGCCCCGGGAGGGGACCTCGCGGCTGTCGTTTTGAGTGGGATCCCGTCGTGCTGCTGGAGTCTTTTTCGTCGCCATCTTCACCATCTCGGCGTCGCCAGTCAGGCAGTCTACCAGCTGTACTGACTGAGAACTGTAGTTACTAAATGTTACTGTCAGGCCGTGTTCATAAACAGAGTGCCTCCTACTCTTAGTGTCAATACATATGAAAGCCGGCACAGCACACGAGAGGTGGTTGGCCAGTACCACGCCCGGCCGCCTTTATCTCCTCAGTGGCGATTGTTTAGACACAGCACCAGATACTAATTTGAGGCCGAGTTGACCTAGGGAAGGCCCAGGACTGGTTCAGATAATTGTCACTGGTGTTGACCGTGAGCGGGAATCAAACTCTGGTCGTAGCCGGGTTTGTGGCTTGGCTTGGCAACCGCTGTGCCACTGCTCCCCATCGACCCACGTACACACACACAGCTGTCTTCTCTCTCGTATGTGCGCGCACACTCTCCTGAGTGCTCCCTGCCATACACACACACACACACACCCGCCTGGCCGCTCACTGGGGTTGTGCGCTCCACTGCCCTGGGGTCCGCCTCCCTTCCTGCAGGTCATGGAGAAGATGGAACGGCTGCTGGAGAGGCAGGCCAGGCAGAAGGCGACCAAGCGATCAGAGTCGGACACTCCGACCAAAGGTGGGAAGTGTGGTTGGTTGGGACTCTTCCCTAGAGTCGGGTTCTTCAATTGGTGGGGATCTCGGAGTGACCCGCCATTGAGGTATTGTCCTCCAAGAGATGTGGATCACCAGGACATGAAGACATACAAATTAGTGAGATGGAAGAGAGATGTACAAGAGGTGGAGATGAGAGAGCTCTAGGCAGGAGTCAAAGATTAGGGAGATGGAAGTGGCTGTGCCGGCCATCTGTACATGTGTAGGGGTGTTACGGGAGGGTGACACGCGGTTATATAACGGTGGCCACAAACACGTCCATTAAGGCCACCACCCTGGGGGGCTGTGGGGGATGCTGTGATCCCTCCCAGCCCCGCCCCTCAGTGAGAAACAGTATAAAAGGTGGGACCCGGAGAGCAGTTCGACCCAGCCAGGATGAAGAGCCAGTGAAGAAAAGAAGACCAACTAGCCAGACCCTGGAACTCCTTTGACTCGCTGCCCTTGTCAGGGCCGGGCAAAGCAAGCCAAGGTGCGACACCAGAGCCGCTCATGCGGCTGGTGATCGAGACCTGCGCCGAAACTGGGCCAGGTCAGATAGCCTCCTAAAGAGAGGACTAGGACAGGGGGAACTAGGGAGCTAGCGTGGGCTTTAGCTCGGGGAACACTTCCCTCTATAGAGCACGGGTGAAGAGGCCGTTACCTCTTAGAGTGTCAGGGTCGCTACTGTAATTGAAGTATCTGTAATAAATACGTGTTTCCCCTGCTAAGGCCACAACACATGTGATAATGTGACCATGTTCATAGTTCATAGTTTCATTTATTTGGTATAGCCCTGTGAGCCATTCGGCTCTTGAATCGGGTGCAACCGCAACAAACAAAAAAACTAAAGCATTAACAAGAAAACATCTTAAAGTGACTTTGTGCATGTGCAAACAGAAAATCCAGGAAAAAAATCAAAATATTCCTGAAATAGCACCGTACACCAACGCTGTGTACAAAAATCCCAGTGGGATGCAAGTCAACAACAACAACAAGAAAACTTAGATTAAGGCCATCAGTCTAACTCCGTACTACAATAAACAAACATGGCCAAACCAAAATTATTTTAGAAATCACCAAAATAAAGCCATAAATGCAATGTAACAGTGATCATAGGAACTGTGACCGAATTTTTGTACAATAAACTACATAAATAACATGTAACACCAAACCCTAGAGCCACAGCTGGCTGCATGAGTCACTCCACAAACAACAGGAGCATCAGTCGGAGTATCACATTTTTCAATGCACCTTTAAGATCAGCACACTAAATCAAAATACAGATAATACTTTGCAACGGTCATCCGGAGCGAAACATTTTATTTTAGACCACTGGATAGCAGTAGCAGCTGTTGTATATGTGGGTATATGAAAATTGATTAAAATAATGAACATTAAATGAAATTTGAAGTTTGCATAATATATCCGTGTAATTATGCATATAAATTATGCATATAAATTATGCTAATTCGAGAGGTAATCGTATTAATTTATATGAGTGGGTGTGGTTCTGTTAATGCTACCTTTTATGATAATCAGGCCCTGCCTCGTTGACGAGGTGGTGTTATCAATCGGGATAATGCAATCAATCGTATGCAGTTATGCTAGTGTCACCTCGTTGTCTAACTTCGTATTACCGATCAGTATAGTACAATGATTCTCGCTTTAACATTCCCAGAGTGTGTATTAGAGTGTGTATTAGAGTGTGTATTAGAGTTTATATTTTAGGTCCCCGGTTCATATCACTCTCGCTTTAACATTTACTTGAGCCTGGATTAATGTGTTTATGTGTTAAGTCCCCGAGTTCATATCTCATCGCAGGATACAGATCTTATGCAAAAATTTCAAGAAAGAATCACACGACCACTTCTGTATTAATCAATTTATTTTCTAATTAAACCTTAACTATAATATGTATGTGAACTCTCAATCTCGGAACTTCAACACGGTATCCACACGGTATCAATACAGTATCATCAACGACGGTACGATTTCACTTTGACAACGGCACACGGATCCCGCATAAAGCGATTGTTGTTAGTGAGAGAGAGAGTCATTAAAACATGCAAATGCTATGCTAAACAAAAACCTTAACTTTATAATAACTGATTATACTTGAATTGTTCACGCAGTACCGCACTCCTTATAGATCATATGCAACCCTTATCACGTTGTTAACAGGGCAATTCATTCTTATGCAGCATAACACGAACGTATAGAAAATATGAATAAAGTCCTTAAGACTATCCGACGGTATTCAGGTGAAAGACAAAAATAACAAAATATTATTTCTAAAGGCACAAATATGCATTCATAGATTCATCAACGATATTGTATAATTAAGAGATGGCTTGGAATAAGGTGTGCGACAGGACGTGCTTGTCACGGGAGATTAATGAATTCCCTGTGCGCGCAGCCCGTGGTGAAGGTCTCAAGAATTAATCCGGATAGATGAATCTATGGGTAATTTATGCGATTAGAAGTACCATCACAAAACGAAGACCAGAAACTTTAAATAATAGAAAAACTTAATTAATGTACTTATAACTGACGCATCGTTATCACTTGAGGGGCGGTGATGCCTTCGTGGCCAGCTGATGGTTTATTAGTCTTAGTGTTAGGTTCGTAGAATTGTTCTTTTGGTAAATTCTTGTGAGCAGACGATGTAAGCGCAGCAGATTTGTGAAGGTGGGAGAGGGGCATACGAAGGCAGGTTCCCTCTCGCTCGGCGTTCCTCACGCCGCTGGGGAATGAGCTGCGCCGGCACGCTGCTCCCTCCTCTCGAGTTGCTTGATCGCTCTCAGTGCTGCTCAGTGGACACCTCTCTCCACTGCTGGATGAGCTGCGCGATCACGCTCGTGCTGGTTCGCTGACAGCAGTTTCTCTCCGCTGCTGGATGAGCTGCATCGGCACGCTCCCTCTGTGTGGAGAACTCGAACGTGCTCGTTTATGGTTTGCTGAAAGCAGGTTTCTCTCCACTGCTGGATGACTCAAGTCGCACGTGCTCGTGCTAGTTCTCTGACAGCAGGTTTTTCTCCACTCCTGGATGACTCAAGTCGCACGCGCTCTTGCTCTGATTTGCAGAAGCTCTTGCTTGGTGCGTCGGTCGTGCTGCAGCTGGACTCAATGTAGAATAAGCTTTCAGCGATACTCTGTCTTTCAGCTCTTTGAAATCACACTCGGTGGTGCCTCACTACCCTGCGAGTCTTGCCAATGTCAGTGGGTAGCGACGGGGCCACTTTGGCCTCTGCTCACCGCCCCCTGCTCTGCAGCTCGCCGGCTGGCGACCTGTTGCTCTCGCTCCCGGTTTGAACTACTCCTGAGCCGATCCACCGGTCGAACTCCCCCGAGTTCCGACCCACTGGTCGAACTTCTCTGAGTTCCGACCCCCGGTCGAACTCCCCTGAGTTCCAACCCACTGGGCGAACTCCCCCGAGTTCCGACCCTCTGGTCGAACTCCCCTGAGTTCCGACCAACTGGTCAAACTGAGGTTTCAATGCTCAGGGTCCTCTTTTTATGCCAAAAATCCCTTTACTTGGATCCTGCCCACAAGGCGAGGCTTCTTTAGATTTTTGCTGTGTCAGGATCTGTCCGTATGTATATGTGTCCATGTGTGTGTCCGTACGTGTGTCAGTGTGTGTCCTTGTGTGCATCACCCACGGCATATTCCGCTGTCATACTCCTTCCATAAAACCCACAAGTACAACAATCAGACGTTACAAATTGTCTCGAAGGCGCCTCTCGGTCTGCCTCTGTTTGCCGGTGCGAGAGAGGGAGGGCTTCCCTCCCTGCATCATGTCCCTAACGCACAAGCGAATGGTTAAAAAGTTTTAAGTTAACATTTCATTCCATCACAGTTCCACAGTTATGATTTGGTATGTAACCCAAGGTCTGTCGTTTCCCATCGTGGTGTTTGACTCAAGGGAAGGTGTTTTCCCGAGCGTATACACTCCTACCCTGCGCTGCGGGGATATAAAGACGGCCGGGATCTCCTTTTCTCTCGAACCCTGGGTTTAACATCGCCCAAGTCATTATGCAGTTTTTTGTGTAAGCTTAGTATAGTTCACGGTGAATAGCCCAACATGAATGTTATGTAGGAAATAATGTAGTGAATTTTTATTAACTTAGCCTGGTGTTTTCGCTGACATGCGCTAACATTCCAAGCCCCCGCCCTTATTCCTGCTCGCTATTCCTGCTCGCACGGTGTCTGCCAACCTTTGCCCTCATTTTATCTGCCCCATTATCGTGCAAGTGCCAGCTTTAGCAAAGAATACCCGGCGGTGTCTCTCCCGCCCTTCTTCAGGGCTGCACCTTTATCCGTGCATCTCAAGGTGTGGTGGGGGAATGTTAGTGTTAGTGATTGCCGTTTCCAGCCTTGTTGAGTGCAGGTGGCAGCGATAATGAGTTGCTTGATTCATGCCACTCTTATTCCCATCTCCAGCGTCCCGATGTCAGCTTCACAAGCTGGCATTCATTTGCCTCTCTCCACGCCCCTGGGTTTTTCCAGGCTTTTTGCTTACGTTGCAGTTTTGCTGTGCTCATGTATTTTTTCCTCTCTCCCCTTATTTTAACCCTGCTTATTATTTGCTTATGGGTGGAGGCTAGAGCATTCCTTTTTATTTAGGAAAATTCTGATTGTCATATGCTTCGGGAAAATTTGTATAGAAATTATTAAAGTATGGAAATAACATTTCATATTGAATTAATAGACGGGTGATGGTTGACTGGTTGCCAATGGGAGTGGGTGTGAAGATCAATAACTTTAGCCTACCCTGTCGTTAAATTCTGACTTTAACGTTACTTTAATAGCAATGCAGAATAAATGAGCTTTTTGACTCAACTATATCTAGGCTAACGCAAACTCTCAGTGACCCTGGCTTTATGTTTACGTCAGCCCCTTGCAATCCGCTGTACTCTGCTCTCTGTCTGCTCTCTCTGACCCTGGGAGTTTGTGAACTGTCTAAATCATGTTAGTAGGTCATGGTAAATATGACCTCCACATGCCATGCTGAGGCCTGGTTTTTTTATTCATTATTTAAAAAACACAATAGAAATATGTATCTATATGTATCGCAAAATTACTTGTTAATATTAAGATGGAAAAGGGACCTAGATACAACACAGCTAGGGGTGTACAACTCCTCTAGAGCAGTTTTGAGTGAACATCTCATAGGTAGTGATTCAAGTTGCAGTTTATCGGCAATAGCATTCCAGACCTTGGGGGCATCAATAGCAAAGGCCCTTCCTCCGTTTTTTGTATGGCAATAGGGAATGTGAAGCTGGTAGATGAGCGAAGACCTGAGGTCAAATTTGTTCTTTGAAACAGAGAGGAGATCCAGCAGGTAGTCTGCGGATTTTTTTGTAAGTACATCGTGAATAAATAAGATCTGGTGTACAAGCCGTCGAACATTAAGAGATGTTAAGTTTGACCCAATGTAGAGCTCATAGTGGTGAGTCCTATATGGCAGGTCAATGCAAATCTTAAGGCCGAGTGATAGATGGATTCAAGCTTCTTCACAGTACTTGGGGCTGATTTATACACGATATCACAGTAATCAAGTAGAGGCAGTATGGTAGCTTTTATCAATTCCAAACGGAACATAGTGGGGAAGCAGTTCTTGTGTCGATACAGAAAAACAATTTTTATTTTTGTCTTTTTACCAATATTATCAATGTGATCTTCGAAATTCAGTGTTGAATTCAGGATGACCCCAAGATACTTATAGAACTTGACTTGCTCTATTTGATCATTATTTAAGGAATGTAATTTGGGAAAAATAAATTCCTGCTTTAGTCCCGGTGAGAAGCATAGCCCATCAGCACATGATAAACTTAATCTGTGGCCCATAAAGTTTATATGTAGTTGAAAAACCCTGCCTTAGAGTGTCCTGTTAAAAAACAAACATAAAATACATAAAATACATGTCGGGTGTATGTGTTCTTATGGTCACTATGTATTTTACACTCTTTTCTGAGAGTTGTCAATGGGACAATATTTTTAGACTATTGCCAAGCCTACCCTGAATCTGCACAGCTGTTATCTTTTAAAATACAGGATACTTAATAAATTTTGTTAACATCGCACGAGTGGGGTCCGACTCACGCCGCTTGGCCTCTAACCCCGCGTGACCTTTAACCCCACGTCTACAGACGGAGACCTCCTCAAGGACGTGGAGCTGGTGCTGGGGGTAGAGAACGCACGTCTGAGGATGGAGCTCGAGAGGTTGAGGGCGCAACCTCACCCCCACACCCAGCAAAGGCCCCCACAGGTAGGCCCAGCATTCAAGCTGCATGCCTGTGTCTCACTGTCTCTTTACCCCTTCAGAGCAGTGCCGTGCACAACCTCATTTTGCATTGCCATGGAGCATCGTGGGTGAATGCGGTGTTGATTCTCGTGTTTGGATAGGGTCCCTTGTTGTATACGTAGTGTTTTTTAGTGTCTGGTAAATCCTGCAGAATTTATTTTAAAAGCCTGACTGCTGATGAGACTCAGATCCAAAGTTTTATTGCTTAAACAGATGCTGCTTGATAATATTGGTCTGGAAGGTTAACAGGCTGATGGACTGAAACATTTTTTATGTTGAGAGACAGATTGGAGGTCTCTTTAGAGCAGGGAGTGCTATGTAAAGACAGGGCTGCCAACACCACCCCTCCCCGATGGGTCATGCAGTGGTTAGTTCACTCGACGCATTGTTATCCACATTTCGTTGAATGCTTCCCCAAAAAAGCGCATTCATATTCCAGGTCAGAGGTTGACTCGAAACCACCATCCCCTTTGTATGAAGTTGGCAGGAGCTGTCCTTTGGATAGACTGGTGCCTGCCAAAGGAATTTAGAATTTCCACCACGGGCTGCCAGTGGAAATGAGTCACCTATGCATGCTCGTTTGAGAAGGGAGACGGCACTGCCTTGAGCAGATGAACCCCCCAAGGTACAGAGTCCTCCAATTCACCCGGCGGCCGTGCACGTGTGTGCCCATCCTCTGGCCCCGCCGCCACCGGTGCTCAGGATGCGTTCTCGGTTGCCGAGAAGATGGCGCTGCTCGCCAAGGTTGAGAGGGCAGAGGGCCGCGTCCGACAGCTAGAAGAAGAGGTAAGTCCGTCCACCTCGACCGCCTCCTCACGCGCTTCTGTCCTGCCCCTCGACCCCGCTGTGTTTGTTCAGCACCGCATCAAAACCTGTTTGGCACATGCTCCAATTCAGTGGCTCCCTAACACCGCACCATTTCCAGCAATCAACCATGCACCGATGATATCTTTCAAAATGATAATTACTCTAAATCCTAGTATCTGCAACAGTTCTACAGACCACTTCCTTGCGGGATCACCGGTGGCCTGTGGACCACAGGTTGGTAACCGCTACAATAATTCTCTCAAATCATCCACCAATGTCTATTGCCTGCATATGTCTCGGCCTGCCTGCAATGTTCCTTCCTGCCCAATGCCTTACGTGCCTGTATGTAACTGGTCTGTACTATCTGTCTGTAACGTGTCTGGCGGTGACAGCCTTGGTTGTTCTCCGCTTGTTGAACGGTTCGAACCCAGCGGCCGCCCTGATTGTTACTGTGATTTTTATAATCATAACAATATTATGCTACGTCTGCTTCACGGTGGGCGTTAAAGATCCCCTCTGATAGGACATTATGTGCCACCGTCTGGGGTCCAAGATTGCCAAATACAAAAATTACACCGCAAATTTCTCAAGTGGGATTATACACAGCATCAATCATCGCTCCCTCCAGGCACACTGATGCCCCGGCTCACTTGCAATTGAGACTTTGCTGGTCTCTGGAGTTCTCACCTGGTTAAACTAAATTAACCGTTGTCTGCTCATATATTGTCTGCCTAATGAAGCCTCCGATGCACCTGGAAAGCACTTATATTATAATAAATACGCGTATCAAGACTTTTCAGCAGGGTCCTACGTTGTTGCAGTAGGGGGCGATGTTGCTCTATGTAAATTCCAATTGAGTAATGTTCAGGTGGTTTTTCAACATTTGGATGCTTAGAAAATACCAGTGGACATTGTGTGGGTTTTGAGGTCTTTTTTTGCTATGGGCAAAAAAACTTGAGAACCCGATGGAAACCCATGCAGAACAGGGGGAGAACATTCAAACGCGAGTGTCGCGTGAGTCTGCAACCTGCGTTGTTGAGGCTGTGCCTCTCCTGTGTGGCACCTTCACCTGGACCGCACCGCCCTGGTTGTGTCCTACAATGTGGCACGTGTAGCTGAAGGTGAAAGCCAAGAAGTGGGGGCGTGAGCGGCAGGACTACGTGATGCGTTTGACGGAGCGCTCGCACGGCTTCACGAGGACGTCGACCGACATCCTGCATGGCTTTCCTGTCGTGAGTGCACCCCCTCCCCCACCCCTGCCTCCGCCCCCCCCCCGCCTTCCACTTCTCAATGCCGAATCGACACAAAAACGTGCGGAATGCGGTATTGGCAGGTCAAAATATTCCCCTCCAGTGTCCGATTAGTGCGGCGAAGATGCTCGCAAGAGACGGATAAGTATCATTGCGGGCTGTTTTAAGCTGGTAGGCCTTGCATGGCTGCAGGCCATAGGAAATCGAGTTATGGGCCGTATTCTGCCCAACGGCTGTAGGTTTTCCAATCTTATTATCTTGAATGTAACATTTGCACATGAGCATGTTTTTCATAAATTGTAACTAATCGATTCTTAAACGCACAATTCGGGTCCTGTATTGTGAGCGCACACGTCAATTCTTGTTGGACACATGATGGGCGTTGACACGGCTCGTGTCTCCCGGCACAGGCGGGATCTCTGCTGCGGCAGGAGATGGGCCGGCGTCACGGACAGCTGGAGCCACTGGTGTGATGCTGGCGAGATGCCGATGAGACACCTATGTGGCGTTGATATGACACCAGTGAGATGTCAGTGTGATGCAGTGATGCCATTGAGACACTGGCGAGGCGCTGGTATCACGCTGGTCTGACGCTGTATAGACGCTGGTGCAACGCCTATGTGATGCAGGAGTGATGCTGGCAAAAGACGAAAGTGTAATGCTGAGTGACGTGGCACCGCGATCTAAAAACCCCGTCGCGACACATCAGTAACGGGGGTGGGGGGGGGGCGAATTTCTCCACTTTTGCATGGCTTTCGTTATTGCTGGTTTTTTTACGCTATTCGCGTGCATTGTAATCATCAATTATAGCGCTCATAAACACACTGCTGGACGAAGGCCTCCACATGCCGTGTCGGTCATGAGGGCCATTTGCTCATTTCACCAGGCTGGTCAGTCCGGGTTAACGAGGGCCCTAACCAGTTCAGATTTCACGCACCACTAACTCAGGTGCCTCTTGTTGAATATAAATATTTCACGGTAAGATGGAGGCCACATGTGCCAAGTTAAACATTGTATTTATTATCGCATGGTTTTTCTCACAATCGTATGGCTTGTTCGAGTGCCATGCACAGGTTTCTACAATCATGGCTGATTATTTTAAACATCATCACTTGAACACGAGTGCTCTGCTGTGACTGAGTTTTTTGGTTTGTAAAATGGAACGGATGAACATATTATATAAAAATAATCATGGCACATATATTTGTTTTGGGTTGTGTACTGCTCATTTGAAAAATACTATTTTATAATGCAATGATTTGCGATTGCTTTTTATTTAATAGAAATGTCACGAATATGTTGTTTTACATTTGACGCTTGACATGATTTTGGAGACTGTACATAAAACTGTATATAAGGATATCAAATAAATGAGGACTTTTTTATTCACGATTAGGCATTTTCACAAACGCGATAGCCAGTTTGGTCTTTTAGAATAATAATTACATTTCCTGTGTTAATTACGTCAGTTTAATTAGTATGTGCACTTTTTCTCAAGTTTCATTAATACGGAGGTTGATTACACTCATCTGTCAATCACAGCAACTCCAACGCTTTGGTCTGTTATGGACCCAACTAAAATAAAACGAGCGGCTCTTGGGAAATAGGCTGCACATCCTTGGCTTTGAGACACGACTTTGAAACTGGTAGTTGAGAGCCAAAAAAGAAGACTTTAAAGTTAAGGCCATCAGTGCGACTTAACGGCACCGATATCACGAGCATAACACGCGCGATGACGGCATGCCTTACTAATTTTAAAACTTGTGTCAGACATAATCTATGACATACAAGCCCTGGTATATGTATCTGTGCAAGAGGAGCTTTTAGATGTTGTGGCTTGTGTCTTCCTTTAACATCTGCGGGTCCACTCTTGAGGAGACGGGGAATCTTGACGTTCTGTTGAACCAATGAGAAGGAACAGAAACGCCAACACGGAGGAGGATCCCGCTATGTGCAGAGGCTCGAGCAGCAGCAGAGGCACTCAGCCAATGCTGTTACCTCAATCGCATCGATTTTTTCCTCCACATTTAGAAAAACGTCTCGATTATTTTGCTGCTGTGAACTTCCAAGCGATAAACCACTTCATTGAGCTATAAATTGTGGCCAGGTAGCTTCTGAAAAATAAGCTAATGGCTCCATGAGATTAAAATAAGTTTAGTTTTTTGGTATATATTTTTAAAGTGATTTGTTTACCTTGCCTATAATTTGCACTACTATCGTGTTTTTGTATTATGTTGTAACATTCTGACCTGCCCCCACTGGACATCTATGGAAAAGAGCTTTATAGCTCATCGGATTCCTCCAGTATTAAAAAAATGGATTCTGATTCTGATTAGCACCGATGCTCTACTGACAAAACAACTTCTCCTTCGTGATACACATTTGGTAGTGATGCCCGTGTTACCCCTGGCAGTGCAGTGGTAACACTCGTGCCACGCAGCCAGAGGTGCCTGCATTCCATTCCCGAGTCAGGTGCCTTTCCTTTTGTGGCGTTTGCATTCTCTCCCTCCTGTTCTGCATGGGGTTTCCCCAGTTTCTCTGGTTTCCTCCCACAGCTAAAAATTCGTAGGGCATGTGAGGAAATGCACCACATATCATGGGTAAAATACAACTAAAGGGACCTGAGAAGTAGCTCTGCGGTATCATCTTTCAGATATTGTTCTTCAACGTGGGGTGATGTTACAGTAGTGTTCTGTGAGCATTCAAATTTGAGGATTGTCTCGAAAACACTCGATAACCCACATGCAGTAAGTCCTCGTTTAATGCGGTAGATGCATTCCCTTGAAGTTCCGTATTCAACGAAAAACACCTTAAACGAAAACAAGTTCCCTATACATAATGTCATGATACATTGTGGTGAAATACGATGTAAGCACACAGTGAGATGGCGGGACAAAAAACAAAGGGTTGCGCAGCCGCATTACTGTGTCACACCGCTCAGCTGCACAGCTCAAGAGAGAAGCTTGTTGTTGACCAATCAGAAACTTCGTTATAACTGCACGCATTCCCTGTCAGAACGGGCTCATTCCACGTTGTGCAAAAAGTGTTCCTCAATGATAGAACCGTGCTCTTATAATGCATTATAGTGTGAACACGTGATAAGCGATGACTTGCAAGTTTCATCGGAACACTTTACAATTCAAATTTGATAATTATTTGTTCTATGATCTTCATACAGATGGCCACGTTAATTGTGCTAACTCACTCCATCGTCCATTTAATCTGCCTCCTCTGGACAAAAATACACTTTCTGAACAATGAGTTTGTGTTTTTTTAACAATCCACAACATTCATGGCACATTTAGAAGACAAACACATACAACAACAGGAGGTGATGTGACAATGAGGGGATATGACAGGTAATCTGACGATGTGGCTTGACAATGAGGTGGCATGAGTGACGATGAGGTGCATGGGGAGACCTGCGATTAGGGCTGCTCATCGTCGGGGTCGCACTTGATCATGACTTTGATGCCCTTCCCTTGCCGCGTTACCTCGAACGCCTCGAGCGCCGAGGAGAGCGGGAAGCGGTGCGTGACGAGCGGCTGCACATCCACATGCCGCGACGCCAACATGGCGATGGCCATCGGCCACCTGCACGCCGCACCAGAGACGAAGTCGTTTCAGGGCTCTCACCTGTGCCCATCCTGCTCCGTTTGCACCCGAGCTGCGTTTACTGGGTTCGCACCCGTGCTGTGTTTACTGGTCTCACCTGTGCTGTGGTAATAACTCTCACCAATTTTTTTATTTATTTTACCAGGTAAGGCCCATTGAGCTTTAAAGCTATTTTACATAAGTGACCTGGCTATCACAAATGATAGCTCAACGAAGTGGCTAATCATGTGGACATTTATTGCAGCCAAATACTTTAAATACTCTAAACACTTTAAATACTCACACCTGTTCTGTAGTTCTTGCACTCATACATGTAGCTATCAGAATTGCAGCTGGTCTATGGCTATCGTTCTCACACCTGCGCTGGGATGACTTTCCCCTGCCACCCCCCCCGCCCATAACAAACTCCACTAAATTATCATAATTTTACTGCCACCCCCGAGAACGAAATTCTATCGTTTGACACTTGGTGTTGCTCCTGCTTGTTAATTAGCGGACGAGTCAGCAGAGGAATGACGCTGCCAACAAGGACGAGTGAGGGATCAGGGCTCTGGTGAGCAACCGCACACCGGCACCACCGTCTCCGCCAATGCTGCGGGCTCACGTGTTGCAGTAGCGGAAGACGCCACGGATGTCGACCTCCCGCACGGCGGCGTTGAGGATGGGCAGGGTCATGAGCTTGGGGCCCATGCCCACCAGCACCAGGACTCCCCCGGAGCGCGTTGCCTGGCGTGGCACACACACACACATACGCGTACATGCACACACAAGACAAAGATACCTCAACAGCCTTAACAAGTACTGTTATGGAGCACCTATGAAGGCTGGCATGGTACACAAGGAGATGGGTGGCCAGCACCATGTTCGGCCGACTTTGTCTCCCCAGTTGCGATCTTTACACACTGCACCAGGTACTCATTTGAGGCTGAGTCGGCCTAGGGGAGGCTCAGGAACGGCTCAGATAATCATCACTTGTTGGGCATGAGCAGGAATCGAACTCATGTCACCAGGTTCGTAACACAGCATGCTAAGCACTGCATTACTGCTCCCCACACTTGCAAACATGCACACAAACGTACAATAGTCTGTCGTGCACCATTAAGTGGCGGTGATATCACCACGGCACTTGTGCCATACTAGATACACACAACAACCGCCATTCGCCACTAAGTGGCGGTGACGTCACCACGACGCTTGTGCCAGGCCATGTGCACCTTGAGGCCACGTGAAGTGTCGAACGCCCGCTGGCAGGAGGTCACGGGGCAGACCCAAGTGCCACAGGTCGACTGACTAAGATGACTGGATGATGCACCACCTGTGCCCCCTACTGTGCCAATCTGCTGTGCTTTAGCCACCCGGCGCTCCGCTCGTTGTTGTGAGCGTCGCTCCTCTGCCCTCCGTTGGTGTTGGAGGGCGACTGCCTCCAACTGCCCAGTAGCGTCCTTCACGAGCCTCCTCCACAGAGGCCGATCTTGACACCGCTGGTACCAGTCATCGTCAAGTCCACTCAGCTCCACGTCCTCCTGTACCACATCACTCCATCTCTTCTCTAGCCCGTGCCGCGCCCGTTCAGCCCCCTCGATACGGCCGAACAAAAGCTGTTTCGGCATGCGGTGGCGGGCATGCGGGCTACATGACCCAGCCAACGCAGCCTTGCCTGCCGGAGAAGCTCACCGATGGGACCTTGCCCAGATCTTTCAAGGATTTGTGAGCTCCTCACACAATCCAGCCTGGTTAAACCCAAGATGGATCATAGGCAGGCTAGCCTAAATGTTTCTAACCGGCGAAGATGTTCTATTAGGGGGGTCCACATTTCGCAAGCGTAGAGAAGGGAGGGAATGACCGTGGCCGAGAAGACCTGAAGACCTGAAGCTTAGTGCGGAGCGACAGACCAGGTAGCTTCCACACAGCGTTATGCAACCGATGAAAAGATATTGCCGCTCGACTGATTCGGAGTGAGACCTCTGCTGTTAAACTGGAGCCGGTCATAAGCACACTGCCCAGGTATGGGAAACTCTCCACTCTATCCACAACTGTCCCTTCACCGATTGGAAGTAGTGGGGGTGGAGTCTCCGATGGTACAAAATACCCAGGCAGGTGCTTAGTTTTGGTGGGGCTGATGGTAAGGCCCCATCTCTTAGTGGCATGCTCCAGTCTCAGCAGCAGCGTCTCCAACTCCTCCTCTGAATGAGCAGCTATTACCAAATCATCGGCATACATAACATGGTTGAGCAATAGGGAGCCATCCCTTGACCGCACCCGGGCATCGATCAGCCTCCCATTATATCTGTACCAAATGGAGATTCCCCGGGTACAGCTATTAAAGGCTTCACGAACTACGTGGTCAAAATAGATGTTAAATAATGTGGGAGCCAGAGGACATCCCTGTCGTACCCCAAGGTGTACAGGGAATGGATCTGACTCCCGGCCACATAGTTTTACCCGGGCCCGCTCACCATCATGAAGGTCCTTAATGATCATGAGCAGAGAGTCAGGGACTCCAAAAGCACTAAGAACAACCCAGAGCCCAGGCCGACTGATGGTATCATAGGCCTTGACCAGGTCAATAAAGCAGAGATGTAGGTCTTGCTGGAATTCCCTACACCTCTGCTGTAACAGACGGACAGAAAATATGGCATCTGTGCAGGACCGCCCTTTCCTGAAACCACATTGGGGCTCCACAAGCCTCTCCTCAGCATGCCTGGCAAGGCGATGTTGAATAATCCTTGCCAGGACCTTTCCCGGCACACTGAGGAGTGAGATGCCCCTGTAGTTACAGTCTGTGCGGTCCCTCTTCTTAAAGAGGGGGACCACCACGGCACACATACACATGTATGCACATGCATTGGAAAAGCATTATTTGAAACAAATCTGTTGAGAATGGGGAAGGATGCCACTGGGTTGTGTTCACGTGTCAGCATGCCGGAGGGGAGAGGACACTGGGTCATGGGTTGTGGAGTGACTTTCACAGAAATTCCGGTTAACATTGTCATGACCACTCCACCGTTTCATTACTCATTAAATTAGATGCCAATCAAACATCTAATAGTTGATGCATTCAACTACCGTATTCATCAAGCACTTTTGAAAATAATTTGCAAAGAACGTTTTGCATCAAAGCTTTTGTTCATGTATGTACAGTATACAATATAATTATATCTTATATGCTTTGTAGATTTCAAGCCAATTGGTCAAACATATATGCAAAATCATTTTGTCAATGGAAAGCAATCGGTATTATAATTGTCTACTATAATAGTGGCTAGCCTCAGACCAAATCTCCCAGAATGCACACAATCTTATCAGATCTTGAAAGCTAAGCAGATTTGAGCCTAGATAGTTGTTTGGATGGGCGACCACCATACAAGCCGGAATGTTACGTAGGCAGCTGCGGGGCTACGTGGTTGTCAGCCAAGTGCCGAGAACCAATGTCCAGACACGAGCAAGACAGGGAAGTTGTGAAGTCGGTTGTGCCTATCAGTCAGTCACATTCACTCAAATTGATTTTGATGGTGACCAAAGACCAGGCTTTTTAATTGAAGTGGCTGAAAACATTTTAGTCCTTTCCCGTTCCGAGACATCTGAAAGTTGCAGGGTGGGTATACCGCTCACCACTGCATCTCGGAACAGGCAAGCAGTTAGCATTAATTTTACTTAGAGAGGCGTAGTGCCGCTCTTTTTAAATGCATTGTACTTTATTCAATGCAGACAACTGCAGAGACACGATCGCACTCAATGATAGCTGGCGCCAAACTGTGCCACACACCCTCACGTATGGCCTTTTACTTCCTCTTCTGTTCCGAATCCATTCCGTTTAGAATCCATTCCGTTCCGATGACGTGAACGTACGTAACCGGAATGGAATTGGAAGAAAAATTGATGATGTACACATACGTTCGTCATCAGAATGGGAAAGGGTTAATATATATGCACCTCCATGTTCGCGGGTTGCACAATATTGCGAGATGCAGTTACAAGTTAAAGTTTGTGTTGTTTAACCAAGGGTGAGGACTCAGGAGGCCAGGATAGAATCTCATTTGAAAAAGTTACTTTGGTGACCAAAATGACAAGCAAACCAAATTATTAAAGTACAGCAACAAAATATAAATCAGAAGAAAAAAACAACAACACTACTACAGTGAGGGAAAAAAGTATTTGATCCCCTGCGGATTTTGTACGTTTGCCCCCTGACAAAGAAATGATCAGTCTATAATTTTAATGGTAGGTTTATTTGAAGAGTGAGAGACAGAATAACAAAAAAAATCCAGAAAAACGCATGTCAAAATGTTATAAATTGATTTTAATGAGGGAAATAAGTATTTGACCCCCTCTCAATCAGAAAGATTTCTGGCTCCCAGGTATCTTTTATACAGGTAACGAGCTGAGATTAGGAGCACACTCTTAAAGGGAGTGCTCCTAATCTCAGCTTGTTATCTGTATAAAAGACACCTGTCCACAGAAGCAATCAATCAATCAGATTCCAAACTCTCCACCATGGCCAAGACCAAAGAGCTCTCTAAGGATGTCAGGGACAAGATTGTAGATCTACACAAGGCTGGAATGGGCTACAAGACCATTGCCAAGCAGCTTGGTGAGAAGGTGACAACAGTTGGTGCGATTATTCGCAAATGGAAGAAACACAAAAGAACTGTGAATCTCCCTCGGCCTGGGGCTCCATGCAAGATCTCACCTCGTGGAGTTGCAATGATCATGAGAACGGTGAGGAATCAGCCCAGAACTACACGGGAGGATCTTGTCAATGATCTCAAGGCAGCTGGGACCATAGTCACCAAGAAAACAATTGGTAACACACTACACCGTGAAGGACTGAAATCCTGCAGCGCCCGCAAGGTCCCCCTGCTCAAGAAAGCACATACATGCCCGTCTGAAGTTTGCCAATGAACATCTGAATGATTCAGAGGACAACTGGGTGAAAGTGTTGTGGTCAGATGAGACCAAAATGGAGCTCTTTGGCATCAACTCAACTTGCCGTGTTTGGAGGAGGAATGCTGCCTATGACCCCAAGAACACCATCCCCACCGTCAAACATGGAGGTGGAAACATTATGCTTTGGGGGTGTTTTTCTGCTAAGGGGACAGGACAACTTCACCGCATCAAAGGGACGATGGACGGGGCCATGTACCGTCAAATCTTGGGTGAGAACCTCCTTCCCTCAGCCAGGGCATTGAAAATGGGTCGTGGATGGGTATTCCAGCATGACAATGACCCAAAACACACGGCCAAGGCAACAAAGAAGTGGCTCAAGAAGAAGCAGATTAAGGTCCTGGAGTGGCCTAGCCAGTCTCCAGACCTTAATCCCATAGAAAATCTATGGAGAGAGCTGAAGGTTTGAGTTGCCAAACGTCAGCCTCGAAATTTTAATGACTTGGAGAAGATCTGCAAAGAGGAGTGGGACAAAATCCCTCCTGAGATGTGTGCAAACCTGGTGGCCAACTACAAGAAATGTCTGACCTCTGTGATTGCCAACAAGGGTTTTGCCACCAAGTACTAAGTCATGTTTTGCAGCGGGGTCAAATACTTATTTCCCTCATTAAAATGCAAATCAATTTATAACATTTTTGACATGTGTTTTTCTGGATTTTTGTGTTGGAATTCTGTCTCTCACTGTTCAAATAAACCTACCATTAAAATTATAGACTGATAATTTCTTTGTCAGTGGGCAAACGTACAAAATCAGCAGGGGATCAAATACTTTTTCCCTCACTGTACATGAGCAATCCCTGCAATGGTAATCGGCTCGTACAGGTTACCTCCAGGTTGATCACAGCGGATGTGCGGGCGAACTCACGTAGATGCTGGCCTGCACGCACGCCTCCGCGCCCGTGCACTCGATGGAGATGTCAGGTGGCGTGCCGCCTAGGCACTCGGCGACGCGACGCGCCATGTCCTGCGGGCCGCCCAAGGAGGCCTCGGCCTCGCTGCCTGCCCCCGACAGGAGGACGAAGTCGGCACCTAGCTCCCGCGCCTTCGCCAGACGCTCGCTCGACAGGTCTGCAAAAACGAAGCGTGGTTACCCACATACGTGCCAAAGAAGTTCAACATACGTACGCACGAGCCTCTCAACGCAGCAGATCGCAAACTATGGGAAAGCCAATTTAAAGATTTCGTGACTGCAAGGATTCATCTTCTTGGTTCTTTCGGTAAAGTCACGTAGAATGATAATAAAACAATAAAACAAAATAAGACAATAAAATTCTCACGACGTTTCGGCCACAACACAAGTAGCCTTCTTCAGGTGAAGGAACAGAACTGTCGGGACGACAGCGCTTCAATGAACGCTGCTAAGATTTGCAGCGTCTTTTAAGCTAGGTGGGAGAAGTAAAGCGCCTTGACAAAGGAGTTTACATATGAAACAGGAGAATTTAGCATTGAAATAGCTGTGATAAAGTGTTGGATCAGCAGGGTGTTAAAGTCAGAAATTAGCATGTAACTGGGAGATTAGCATGATGTTAATGTGAGGGATTAGCATTTGACTGGTCACGGAAATAGCTATGTTAAATTCAAAAGAAAAAACGCCACCCATTTTTTCGCCATAAGGCATTGTAATGCATAACGACTTATTGTTAGTAGCTCAGCTGATTGGAGAGTATATCGAGTTTATTGATAACATTGATGTAGTTTATATTTTAGTTTTTTATTAGCTTACTATATGGTATTCATTATATAGTGTAGTGTATACCCAGTTACTTTATGTTTATAGCTCAACTTATTGAAGAATATATTGAGTACATTTATTATATTGATGTAGTTTATACTTAGTTTTTTTACATCGGTTTATTGTATGATAGTTGGGTAGTTGCAGTCCTTTAGCGTCCATATACTAAATGCCTCTGTTGATATGTAAACTTTGACTTTAACATAGCTATTTCCGTGACCAGTCACATGCTAATCCCTCACATTAACATCATGCTAATCTCCCAGTTACATGCTAATTTCTGACTTTAACACCCTGCTGATCCAACACTTTAACACAGCTATTTCAATGCTAAATTCTCCTGTTTGATATGTAAACTCCTTTGTCAAGGCGCTTTACCTCTCCCACCTAGCCTAAAAGACGCTGCGAATCTTAGCAACGTTCATTTAAGCGCTCAGCTGTTTGGAGAGTTTATAGAGTTTATTGATAACCTTGATGTAGTTTATATTTTAGTTTTTTATTAGTTTACTATATGGTATTCATTATATAGTGTAGTGTATACCCAGTTACTTTATGTTTATAGCTCAACTTATTGAAGAATATATTGAGTACATTTATTATATTGATGTAGTTTATACTTAGTTTTTTTACATCGGTTTATTGTATGATAGTTGGGTAGTTGCAGTCCTTTAGCGTCCATATACTAAATGCCTCTGTTGATATGTAAACTTTGACTTTAACATAGCTATTTCCGTGACCAGTCACATGCTAATCCCTCACATTAACATCATGCTAATCTCCCAGTTACATGCTAATTTCTGACTTTAACACCCTGCTGATCCAACACTTTAACACAGCTATTTCAATGCTAAATTCTCCTGTTTGATATGTAAACTCCTTTGTCAAGGCGCTTTACCTCTCCCACCTAGCCTAAAAGACGCTGCGAATCTTAGCAACGTTCATTTAAGCGCTCAGCTGTTTGGAGAGTTTATAGAGTTTATTGATAACCTTGATGTAGTTTATATTTTAGTTTTTTATTAGTTTACTATATGGTATTCATTATATAGTGTAGTGTATACCCAGTTACTTTATGTTTATAGCTCAACTTATTGAAGAATATATTGAGTACATTTATTATATTGATGTAGTTTATACTTAGTTTTTTCACATCGGTTTATTGTATGATAGTTGGGTAGTTGCAGTCCTTTAGTGTCCATATACTAAATGCCTCTGTTGATATGTAAACTTTGAAATTAACATAGCTATTTCCGTGACCAGTCACATGCTAATCCCTCACATTAACATCATGCTAATCTCCCAGTTATATGCTAATTTCTGACTTTAACACCCTGCTGATCCAACACTTTATCACAGCTATTTCAATGCTAAATTCTCCTGTTTGATATGTAAACTCCTTTGTCAAGGCGCTTTACTTCTCCCACCTAGCTTAAAAGACGCTGCGAATCTTAGCAGCGTTCATTGAAGCGCTGTCGTCCCGACAGTTCTGTCGCTTCACCTGAAGAAGGCTACTTGTGTTGTGGCCGAAACGTCGTGAGACTTTTATTGTCTTATTTTGTTTTATTGTTTTATTCTCATTCTACGTGACTTTACTGAAAGAACAAGAAGATGCGGGAAAGCCCTTTAGGGGAGGCCACGGGCTGCCGTGAGGATCGTTACATAATACCTACTGTGGTGGTGATGACGGTAGTAGTGATCATTAATGACTGTTGATGATGGTGATTGCTATGATGGTAAAGAGTGATGACAATGATAGTGATGAAGATGACAATTATGACAGTGGAAAGTATGATGAGGGTTAAAGTGATGATGGTGGCTATTACGATTATTATGATGATGATGGAAGCCATGTACCTGTGATGACCACCTTTGCCGCCCCCATCCCTTTGGCCACGAGGAGGCACACGAGCCCGATGGGACCTGAGGGAGGTGGATCAAAGAGGTGACATCGCTCCCCATGTCTGCACAATATTTCGAATAAATAATGCTGATTCCACAGTACCCCGTGAGGTGAGTTCGTGCAAGGTCGGGTGAGGCATAATAAGGTTAGGTGAGTAACCAGATGAAGTGTGGTCAGTTAAGGTGATAAACCAGGTAAGTATTAACCAGATGAGACCAGGGGAAGTTATTGTCCAGGTGAGGCATGATCAGGAGATGAGCAACCAGTCACCAGGTGAGTAGTAAGCAGGCGAGGTGATACCAGGTGAAGTGCGGTCAGGTGGTAAGGGGTAGCCCACCTGCCCCGCAGATGAAGACGTAGCTGCCCAGTGAGACGCCGGCGCGGCGGCACGCGTGGATGCCCACGGAGAGCGGCTCAACGAGGGCCCCCTCCTCATAGCTCACGTTGTCGGGAAGCCTGCATCGGACCAGCACCGCCATGGTTACTGGTGAACGCCTCCACACCCCTCCGCCAACCACCCTCCTCCGTATTCTAGTCCAGGCACAGGACTTCTCTCTCCTGTCTCCGGACCTCTGCGAGGTGCATTCATTCTCAAGCCTCTTCATGCAAGGTCACAATTAGACGCTCTGCAGTGTCGCAGTGTGCTGTGATATAAGCTCAAAGAAACAGTGACACATAACAGTTCCAACCAGCGCAATACAATCCCAAGTGTTCCCTTGTTCTCAGCAACTTGGGGAAATGCTCTCTGCTTTTCCAGTTTTGAGCCAGTGGTGGATATTCCACATGGCTCCAGCACAAAAGGTTTGTGGTGACCGAAGTGGAAGAGAAGTTGGTATCGCACATGGTAAGATGAATGATAGGCACATATGGATCCATATATTGATTACAATATATCTTAACCCTCGCCACTGCAAAGCAAATTGTGCAGGTTGCATTGAATTATTCAAGGTTCATTCACATTATTCATTTAAATTATGAACTGATGTTGAATGTAGTCCCAACGCATTGAACAAAACCGTACAAACGAGACGGTCAAAACAACACCAGAAAAAAGGCTGTACATCTCAAATCGAACCCCTGGCCCAAATTATAACAATCATTGGAGGCACTGGGAAGGCGCGGGGGGGGGGGGGGGGGCGTGGGGGTTAACGACTCCGAGTCTGCTGAATGCTGGCGGCGCTCACTTATAGCAGAAGCTGGCACTGTGCGTGTAGTAGCGACACAGGCTGCCGTGGTCGGGAGGCGTCGCGCAGAAGAAGATGCTCGGGGAGAGGTTGTAGCGGCCGTTTTTGCAGAATTCATCGTTCTCGCGCGGCACGCCGGGCTCAATGGCCACCCGGTCCCCTGGGCACAAGCGCGACAAAGGCAAGTGCTATGAGCGAGCACCTAATGAAGGCCAGCACGACACACGAGCTGGTGGGTGGCCAGCACCACGCCCGTCCGCCTTTGTCTCCCGAGTGACGATATTTACACATCGCACCAGGTACCCAATTGAAGCAGTCAACTTAGGGGAGGCCCAGGACCAGTTCAAATAATCCTCACTGATGTTTGCCATGAAGGGGAATTGAACTCTGGTTGCCGGGTTCGTAGCATGCTAACAACTACACTACCGCTCCCATGAAGGGGTAGGTGGCCAGTACCACGCACAGCCGTTTTTGCTTCCCGAGTGATGTTTACACATCACACCAGGCACCCATTTAAAGCTCCGTTGACTTCGGGGAAGCTCAAGACTAGTGCAGATATTCAACACTGATGTTGGCCATAAGTGGTAATCAAACTCAGGTGGCCAGGTTTGTAGCGCAGTGCGCTAACGACCACAATCCTGCTCTCCATGGACACACACACACATGCACGCATGGACACATGCACACGTGCACATAGACATTCGCACACAGACAGACACGTGGACAAATGACGATCAGAGTAGGCGATGGATGATGCAGGGTCAAGTCACACAGAAACTCCTAGCCCAACTATGATTTCCGACAATGATTCATTACAATTGTGTGGCAACCTTGTGAATGCATCTTGTGTCACGTGCGCTGGGCCCATTGTGAGCATTTCATAAGAATGTCTCTGAACCGTTGGCGTTTTTTGCGTGTTTTTTTGCGTATTGTGCATTCGAGCTCCATAAATATTACGAGCTGTGAGCACGTTGTGTGCGGCGAGTGCATCGCCCGTTTTTTTCACCCACGCCGCGAGTCTCTTGGGCATCTTGAGCACGTCTTGAACCTCTCTGCATGACTCCTGCATGTTATGTATATTGTAAACATGACGAATACATGTTGAACTTCTTTTGGACTGTATGTGGCCAACCGTGCTTATGGGAGGTGCATGGGAAGGACAACAACTAACGCACAAAAAGCAGTTCTAAGAAGTCATAGCTCCAGTGGCTTCCTAATATCGGAAGAAAGCGTTCAAGACGGTCACAGAATCAGATCTGAAAACGTGCGATGCAGTGACCGTCTTCGTTCAATGGTTAGCCAAAAGCCACTGCAGCAATAATGTAAGCATAACGTAAGCGTATCCATATGTTGGGCGTAAGTCGCATGTTTTCCTCAAGGTGTGCCGCGAATCTCGTGCTGTCACGTCGTCACACATTTGCCGCTATACTTTTGCATCTTACGCAAGTTGCATAGGCCAGGCAAACGTGTCCATCATGTGTCGCGTTCACGTCACAGGCTCCGCGAACGTTCTATCACAAGGAGTCTCGTGCGCGTCGCGATAGTGCCGATAGTGCGCTGTGCGCAGCGAGGGCGCGTCCGTGCCGCAAACCAGGAACGAGGTGGGTGACGCTGGTCCCCACGGCGCACACGGTGCCAGCCGCCTCATGGCCCAGCACCATTGGCTCTTGCAGCACGAAGTCTCCAATGCGGCCGTGCTGCCAGTAGTGCACGTCCGAGCCGCAAATGCCTACCGAGTGCATCTTGAGCAGCACCTCTGTTGGGGGGCACAGCAGGGGGGTCACATGGCGTAAAGGTGCACGCACATCCACACCTTCACCTTTACTACCACCACCACCACAAAGATCCCCCCTGTAGCCTTAACTAACTGTAGGAGCAAGTGCTGTTAGCGAGCAGCTATGAAGGCCGGCACGGCACACATGGGGGTGGGTGGCCAGCACCACGTCTCCCTAGTGGCGATGTTTACACATTTCACCAAGTAATAATTTGAGACTGAGTCAACCTAGGGGAGGCCCAAAACCAATTAAGATAATTGTCACTGCTGTTAGCTAAGAAAACTTGTGTCACCACGTTCGTAGCACAGCGTGTTAACCGCTACGCCACCAATCACCACACGCACCACCACCACCACATTAGCACCTTCACCACCACTATCACTGCAACACCCCTCCCCCTTTCAACACTATCACTGCCACTGCACTCACACCGTCACGAAAAGACAAATATCCCCCTTATAGCCTTAACAGGCCCAGGACCGCTTTAGATAATTGTCACTGGTATCGACCGTTAGTGAGCATCGAACCCGAGTTGCCAGGTTTGTAATGCAGTGCACTAACCGCCACTCCATTGCACCCCACACCGTCACTACCTTCATCACCACTGCACTCACACTTTAATCACTGCCACCAATCACACCATCACCACAGCCTCTACCACCACCCTCGAAGGTTTGTGACGTGCACTCGGGAACGGTGGATGCAGTGGTGGCAGGGATCCATGTGTTTGTAGGCCTATTTGAGCGTGGGGAGCGGTAGCTTAGTGGTTATCGCGATGCGCTACAAACCCGGCGAGCCAAGTTCGATTCCCGCTCATGTTTCGCCTCCCCTAGGTCGACTCAGCTTCAAATTAGTACCTAATGCGGTGTGTAAACGTCATGTAAACATCGCCACTAGGCAGACTAAGATGGCCGGGCATGGTGCTGGCCACCACCCCCTCGTGTGCCGTGCAGGCTATACGGGGGATCTTTGAATTTGCCTACTTGAGGCCAAGGTGAATACCCCGAATAAAGCTTCAAAGCTAGCATGGCCATTCTGAAAAATATGGGTCAGTGTCCATCGCTCTGTGAAATCTCCACAAGGATTACTTTTTGCATGATGGAACGTTGAAGAGAACTGGGAATAAACATGGGAAATATACCAACTATATTGAAATAAAAAGAAACCCATTGTGAATTGGTATATGTTAAATTTCGATTTAAAGCTTTCGTGACTGCAGGGATTCATCTTCTTGGTTCTTTCGGTAAAGTCACGTAGAATGGAGATCTGGTTCCATCTGTAAAAGATGTGGTTCCAGATATACAGTACCCGGGCGTTTACAAACTAAGTTGCCTCTGTGGTAGCAGCTACATGGGAGAAACCAAACGACATATCTCGGACCGCATCCACGAACATAAAGCAGACTTGAAACACGGTAGGACTAACTCCTCAGCCGTGGCAGATGACTGTTATAATTCAGTGGGCTCACATGACATTGACTTCTCTAAGACGGAGGTTCTTTGCAAGCCATCCGGCTACCATGAGAGATTCGTTCATGAGGCCATCCACATATACAATCACAGAGACAATTTCAACCGAGAAAATGAATTCTGGCTTAGTAACCATTGTAAAGATGTTATAAACCATTTCAGTTCTTAATTGATTGTATTTTACGGTGACCTTCAGACCGCAGTCCATTCGCTGGCACTGCCTCTTGATATCTTTCACACCACGGTCAATGGTATGGTTTATAGCATATGGTATAATAATAGATAGTAAAGCATCGTAATGTTTAACATAATTCAAAAGGCAATATATAGTATCGTAATTGTATTGTGAATATACAGCAGTGTCATACATTAGGATTGACAGAATAAGACAGTGTAATAGTACAAGTCTAATATTTTATAGTCTAAAGTATAGGGTAGTGTACAGTAACGCATTGTATAATTCATAGGTGGAATTTTTTCTATGGATATGATATTAAACCATGTAGTTTAGAATGTAAGGCATAATATTGTATTGCATAGCAGTCCAGTTTATAGCATAGGACATAGCAGCGCACCTTGGTTGTCCGGCTTTCCCCTTTGGCCCTCGGGTGCCCCCCTCTCATCACCTCCAGAAGTGGGGTTGGGTAACATGCCAATTCATATGTTAATTCTGTCCACACAGCTTAAAAGACGCGGCCCTTGCTTGGCAGTGCTCACTCTAGCGCTGTCTTCTGGACAGTCCTGTTTCTTCACCTGAAGAAGGCTACTTGTGTTGTGGCCGAAACGTCGTGAGAAATTTTATTTTATTATGTTTTATTTGTATTATTTTATCTCCATTCTACGTGACTTTACCAAAAGAACCAAGAAGTTGGTATATGTTGTTTGTATCATATTCTTCATGTTATAAGATGTTTCTCCCCTCCTCTTGTCTTATAATCCAGTTAGGTGTACATGTGTAGAGGGGAGAAATGTGCGGTGCATACAGTTAAACGGGTGCAACTGAGGTTGAACAGATGTGCGTGTTGCAACATGAAGTTTGCACAGACAAACAACCAGTTATTAAGGAGAGAAACGGGTGCAACCGAGGTCAAACAGGTGCTACGCTATGACCGGATGTTGACGCCTAGGAGATGGGAGATGACGGGTGATGATAAGAGATTAATGGGGCAACTGGCACCGGCCTGGCGGCAGCTTAAGTGAAAGCACATGAGGGCTCGGGATGAGCAGGGTGATATAAGCGGGAGTGTGTGTAAGAGTCGGGAGTCGTTGCCGGGAACAAAGAGTGAAGACATTTCACCGCTGTCGCTCCAGCCGTAAAACGTGAGTTGGCTGAACCCCCCGCGCAGGACAAACGAGTGAGCGGGTCTGAGGGAGCATAGGTGAGAGCAACGGTGGAGATGTGAAGTTGCTGTGTGCAGAGTCGCTGAGTGCAGGATAAGTGAGGTGCTAGAATAGATAGGAACGGGGAGAAGTTCAGTATATGTGAACGTACAGATAGTTATAGGTGTGCCTACAACTGGTGCAAGAATAGGTGAATAAAGTGTAAGCAGGTGACTTGTTACAACGTGTCGGTGTGAGTAATTTTTGAAGACACTACATATGTGTGAGAGCAGATTTGTATAACTTGACACTGAGCACGCATTTGCAGTGCATCTTACAATCAATGGTTCACATTGCACCATTCCTGTGCTTATTTGATTTATTTTGCTTTTATCCTTTTTGGTTACCAAGGTCACGTCTTCCAAGTGAGACGATTTTCCTGGTCTCTCAAGAATTCTCATACGGTTAGACAATATTAACTTTCAGCCACTAAAGGCGCTACCATCCAGATGTATGCCTTTGACAACTCAAGGAATCACCAAGATGGTGGGGAAAGGATCGTTCCCTAGATACCTCTCTACTTTTTCCACTGCTGGACGGATGGGTGGTTTCATGGTTGCAGTTCAGCTCTTACCGTTGGGGCCCGGCACAGGCATTTCCCGGTTCACCTGCGTACGCAGAGTCAAGGAAGGGAGAGTGTAACTGCAGCAGTGATGAAAGCAGCCTGATTGTAAAATGCTCACAAGCATGTGGCTATGTTCTAACCACTATTCAATTCTGTACCCCATGAGAAAACCCCATCAGAAATAGAAAACAGTGCAGGCAGGAAAAAAAAACTTTTTAAAAATGCATGCCGACTCATGCTTGCACTGATTAGTCCTGTTAAGGATGAAACCAGTCGACAGTTGTCTCTGTCTCAATGCTTACTGCCTATTAGTTGGGGTCACATTTTCTCGAATTTATTTCATGGTGATCTAAGACAAGAGCACCACAATTCCGTTCTTCTGTAACTGTTGATGATTTTTGCACCACGCATAAAAGTCTGGGTGCTGTGTGAAGCTTAAATCGCTGTAATAAGTCATTAATCTAGCCCAATCGGTTGACTGGAACAATCCATCAACGCAAACATAATGATTACTCCTGGTCTGTGCCAACTCAAACTCGGCTACATTCACCCCGGTTCTGTCTATTGAGTACTTTGTTGAGCAATGATGATTATTATATCACTATGTAACATAAGTTTTGTTCCTGGGTACTAAGTGTTATTTTTTATTTCTTATGCCTAAAAAGTATAGAAAATGGCTATTATTCCCCACAAACTTTGCTTTTGGAAATAACACTACCAGGAACAATTTGTTTTGTTACACAGTGTTATGTGTACTTTAACGTGCATACTCATTCACCAGTGGTCATTCACCTCCTTAACACTCTTCTTCCTATACTCTTTGGTTCTTTCGGTAAAGTCATGTAGGTATAAAAAAAAATCACGTTTCGGGCGCAACACAAGCGTCCATCTTATACCATTATTACGGTTTCTCATGAAAGTCACTCATTGATTCCTCCACCCCCCCATGTTGAGGACCGTTTACACCAGGCTGACACGGTGGCTGACACAGGTCATGGAGTTCAACCCCGACCCGAACGCCTGCTGTATATTTGGAGTTTGCATGTCTCTCTCCCATGGTTGCATGGATTTTTCTCCGGGTCCTCTGGTTTTTCCCTCCACATTTAGCATTAACATCACGCGTTTGGAGTATTTGGCTGCTCGAAATTTCCACGTGAAAAGCCACTTCGTTGAGCTATCACTTTGGCCTTACCGGGTAAAAAATATATAGTTTAGTTTAGACTTATTGGACTTATCCATGCCATGTTCAACCACCAGACCCATCATTCATTATTTTTCCTCTTCATATTCTCATATGGCTTTTACTCATTCCCCATTCAATTAATTCATCATCACTTACTGCCATCAATTTAACTTTCACCGAATTCATGCATAACAGATTTGCCTCCATTGCTTCCTCTCATCTCTTTCATTCACCTCATCTCGACCATTAAATTAATATGTACCATTGTTAATGCCTTGTAAAGCCCCCTTGGTTAAAGCGCTATATAAATTCCTTTAAGATAAGATTCACTCAACCATTCACCGACTCCCTCACTCACCCACTAATCACACTGCAGGTCACAAACACGTTTCTCTCTGCTTCTTCCCTCACACTGCTCCACTTTGGAATTCCCTCCCATCGTTTATTTCTCTCAAGCTTTGCTCACAGAGACGTGTCAACGCTTGCATATTATTACTTTGTCCGTGCTGTTTGTTACTGGCCGCTTGACATTTTAGGCCCGTGCTCCGAAACTGTGACAACAAATACTGCCGCCCTACATACATAATACTCAGTAGGGCAGCCCGAGAGACAGTCGCGGAAGACGCGAGGAGAAACAAGAGATTGTGAGCGAGAGACACTGTGACGATGCGAGTGAAACACAGGTACGTGTAGACAAGACGGATATAGGGAGAGAGTGAGACGCAGAGACGGAGACAAGGAGAGATAAATGAGATTACTCTATATGAAGAGAGACACGGAGACAGATACGAGTAAGAGAGGCATACACAGAAAATATATATACAGTACAGAGATAGAGAAATACACGGTGACCAAGACAGACAGGAGCAATGGGAGCGACTCGCACAAAGAGAATCAGTCCATATTCTTAGCTCTTTCGGTAAAGTCAGAATCAGAATCAGTCCAGTTGACATTTACATAAACTGTTGAGGTATCCCTGTGCACGCGTCTCTCGTGGAATAAGAATGCACTGACAGTGACAGTACCTACAGTCTACAGCCGCATCTTTTACATCAGCTGATCGCATGAACGTGCAACGCGACAATACACAGCTCAAAAACACAATTCACTCCGCACGGCCCAGCCTACTCAGCCGTGGTTCAGCATCAACCAAACTTACACCACCGCTGCCCATCAACTTCAAACCCCCCGGACCTCCCTCCCCGGGCCGGCCTGGCTCACTCTACCGGTGCAGGCGGCGCAAAACCGGCAGAGCGAGCAGCCTCAGCAAGTCGGCGGGGGATCTGAGAATCTCCCCGTGCTCGAGTTTCTTACCAACCCTCGCTACGGCCGGTTACTCACCAGCCGGAGGTCTTTGGCCGCGTACACGACGACCGAGGTGTTGTTGAGAGCAGCCATCTCGTGGCTGGTTGGCAATGGAGATGGTGTTGTTGGTAAGGGGAGCGTGAGTGTCCGTGGCGTTGATGTTGCTGCTGTCATGGAGGGGAACACGAGTTTGGGAAATGCAGTTTTGTGGGTTCCCTATAGGGAGCGCTTGAAAGATCCTCCCTTCCTCTTTCCCCATCCCCCGTGGCAAAGGTCGTTTTGTCAACAAGCCCCTTAGTTTTTACTTGTGTCAGCGTCTATGAGTTTTTTATTAATCCATGTTTACTTACACTGTGCCAGCCTCCCGTTACACAACATCCGACTGGACATCTGTGAAAAAGAGCTTCAATATAAATTTCGATTTAAAGCTTTCGTGACTGCAATGATTCATCTTCTTTGGTTCTTTCGGTAAAGTCACGTAGAATGAGAATAAAATAACAAATCGATAAAATAAAATAACACAATAATATTCTCACGACGTTTCGGCCACAACACAAGCGGCCTTCATCAGATCAAGGGACGTGCCTGTCTGGAGGACAGCGCTGGAGTGGAAGAAGCCACGCTTAGATCACGACCTTTAAGCTGTGTGAGAAGATAAAGAAGACCAAGCGCCTTGACAAAGGAATTAGCATATAATTTGGCATTGAAATGGCTCATTGAAATAGCTAAGTTAAAGTATAAACATCCGCAGAGGTACCCCTTGACAAAGGAATTAGCATCGAATTTAGCATTGACCCCCCCCCCCCCCAGGTGCATGATGTAATTTTTGGACGGCCCCTAATAAACCGCCACCTGTACTCTGAAGCTCTCTACCAGTCGTGAATGATTTCACGATACAATTACTTTAACTGTAAATCACATTTTTATAAAAATGTGGGGGCCGACGCCCGCCTCGCCGCTCCCTGTGAGCGGGTGGGACGCGACGTCCACCCCCCCTCCACTCCTCTCCGTTCCTCCTCGTCAGCCGCCTCTTGCCGGGCCCTTAGTCGATCGAGTGATCGGCCCCCCCGCGCCAGCGCCCTCTCTGAGGGACAGAGCTAATTGGCTGGCTCACCACCGCCCGGGGTTATCTCACACAAGTTCACGTACACCACCACAAAAGCGAATGCGGTGGCGTGCATGTGCACGCGCGCCTCTGCAGGCGCGTATTTCCCACACACGCGCGTAACCACGCGCGCCGCTACAGGCGCTTATTTTGCGTAGATACGCGCGAGCGTTGGTGAGCGGTTTTAATTTTACCCCTCCCCCGCATGCACGAGCGCGCGTTTTACACAAAGGCTAGCACTAAAGAAAACGGCGGGATGAATATGCGTGCAAACCTCCGGGGGGTCAAGCCCTAATCCGCTTGTACACAAAGGCTAGCGCTAAAGGGCTGCAAAAAATTTGCGCGCGCGCCTCGCCGTTAATGCTATTGCTGCTGCGTAAACACGCGCGAGCGTTAGCGAGCGGGTTTAACGCACCCCGCCCCCACCTTAATACTCGCGCGGCACGCCTGTTCGGACGCGGGCGCGTCGGCGGCCGTCTATGTTTTAATATGCGCGCGCGCCTCGCACACACACTCAAATTACCAAGACCACGCTGAGGTTCCACCCACACGCAAATCACACTGCACCGATACTCTGTACTAAAGTTTATTAACGGCGCGTTTAAAGAAAAACCCTGTATGGCCCAGAGCAAATATTGTACGAGCAGCGCCTAACCTATTACTACCCTTATGTGTACCCCCACTCCATTACTCACCTCACAGACGCACTCACGGTGTCGCATGGACGCGGTGGGAGTCGGAGGGACGGCGATCAGAGAGGGCTCTGCCTAGGGCCGACTTGTAGCCGCACTTGCTAGCGTCTCACGGACCCTGCGAGCGGCAGGGAGTCGATCCAGACGGCTGAACGGCCGTAGGATAAGTTCCTTTATAATTTCTTGCTCCCCTTTTTTATGCCCTGGGATTACGAAAATTTAGGATTATGTGACGTCATCCTGCGCAGCAAATCGGGCGTCTACCCCCCCCCCCCCCTGTTGGATATATGAGCCTTTTCCAAAATTGATATTAACAATAATATCTGTCGATATATATTTTTTATTACAACAAAAAATAATGAATAAAACACACAAACCCAAAAACACGCAAACACAGATGGAAATCGTAAAAAGGCCATAAATGTATAGAATAATAAACTCCAAGAGAGGGCAGAGAGGTTACCTGCGAAATCTCCAGACTGCCACGGAAGGACGGTGAAAAAGGGGTATCTGTTTTCTCTCACTCAAGGGTTGGAGAGAGAGAAAGAGACCCCGGCCGTCTTTGTCTCTCTCGGCAGCACGAGAAAGGAATTTAACACCAGAGTGTGGAAAGTGCGAATTGTTGCAGAAAGGGTCGCCCCCTCCCCCCCAGGATCATATAACGCAGATGGCTTGTGGAATGCCACACACACGCACGTACACACACACAGGCCATGTCCCCCCCCCCTTCACTGCGCAGAGCGGAGAATTTTTTGTTTTATATATATAACGGTCAGCCGCATCTTGAGAGTTCAGTCAAGACAGATCAACAATTCAAGAAGTTCGACAAGGCACGAGCAGTCGCAACGAACGGCTGGCTCCAAGGAGCGCGAGCCTCGCTGAATAGCAAGGATCGCTGAGTAACAATGTATCAACGAGCGTGATTCCGAGCTAAAAGGCAAAGTATCGCTTAAAGACCCTTATTTCTACATCGAGTCCAGCTGTAGCGCGACTGACGCACCAAGCAAGAGCTTCTGCAACCAGCAGCCAAGCGTGTGCCAACTTTAGCCATCTAGCATCGGAAAAAGCTTGGCCAGCCGCCAACAAAGAGTCAACGAGTCAGCGCCGCCAAGCAAGAGCGTGCAGCAGTCATCCAGCAGTGAAGAAGCCGGCTGCCAGCGAATCAGCGCTGAGAGCGCTCGGGCATCTCAACAGAGAGAGCGCGTGCGACTTGGCTCATCCAGCAGCGGAAAGAGCCTGACCAGCCACCCGTGAGAAAGTGTCAGCGCCAGCGAGCGCGCCGTGGGTTCGACCCACACGCACACCAACCAGCACCAGCTGGGAACCAAGACAAGAGTGAGGAACTGCAGCCAGCGGACGAACTGCGGGCGCTATCTGACGACGGATCATCGCGCGACGACGGCGAGCGTCGTGCCGACTCTTCCAGCCAGCTGTGGACAGAAACTGTGGCAGCCGTGTTCGTATGCCCCCCCCCTCCCCCACACTCTCACCCTCACACCCCCCACCGCTCCGCAGGGAACAAATACATTTTTGACACAAGAGATGCCAACCTCGGCGTCTGCTTTACGCAAAGAATTGAACCAGTGATAAAGAAGACACGCGATATGCATATCGGGACAATCAAGAAGAGTTGCCACTCCAAGGTGGTACATTAATAATCAATTGATAACGAAGAACATTGTTTCCATCGAGCTACGTGAATGCGGTCACTGAGAAATCTTTTAGTCGGTCATCTTTAATGGCATAATCTTGTTTATGGATCTAGGAATGAATGCGGTACAGTGTGTGCAAATTCCAGTATAATCATTCATAATAGAATGTTAAGGTTTTGCTTAGAGTAGCATTTGCATTTTTTTATTACATCTCTCTCTCTCAACAACCGAGGTCGTGTTACGTGGTGGTTAACCATATGTGCCGTGACCAGAGTGAAATAACGCAGAAGTGATGATACTGTGTTGAAATGCCAAGATCGAGAGTGCATCTTCTAAAGTTAAAGTTTAGTTAGAAAATAAAATTGATTAATGCAGAAGCGACTGTGTGATTCTTTCTGAAATTCCGCATAAGAATTGTTCTGTGATTGAGATATGAACTTGGGGGGACCTATAATAAGCACACTAACACACATAATAAATGTTAAAGCGAGAATAATCGTATCCTTATTGATAATACGGAGTTAGACAACGGAGCCAAGTTGACTCTCTCATTCACGCTCACAACACCTGCATAACTGCAAACGATTAATTGCATTATTCCAATTGATAACCAACCCTCGTCTTCGAGGCTGGGCACGATTATCATAACGACCTGCATTATCATAACCACACCCACTAGCATAAATTAATACGATTATCTCTCGAATTAGCATAATGTATACGCATAATTACACAAATTAACGTAATTCTGGATAAATGATGCTAATTTAAAATTTCATTTAACTTTCATTAGTTTCATCAAATTTTCATAACCCACATATACAACACCCCCCGTCCATTGTCTCCGTGTCCACATTCTTCACCCCTAACTCAGCCGGTAAATCCTGAGCGGCCGCATAGTCAGTGCGAACCACGAAATCCCTGCCATAAAGGTAGGGCCTGTACTGCTGCACAAAGCAGACCATTGCCAGCAGCTCCTGCCAGTTAACACAATACCGCTGCTCAGCCGGCGACAGGATGCGACTAGCATAGGCAATTGTTATATATGCCGGGTCTTGAAAATTTTATAAAAATAATAAAAATTGGAAAATGCGTAATAATCCGAAATTATGTTAATTGATGTAATTATGCACATATTATGTTAATTAGGGAGGTGTCGTCATATTAAGTTATGCAATTGCATGTGATTATGCTAATGCACACCATTATGATAATTAAGCCCTGCCTCGTTGTCGAGGGTAGTATTATCAATCGGGATCATACAATTAATTGTATGAAGTTATGCAGGTGTGCTGTAAGTATGCTAGATTAAGCTCGGCTTCGTTGTCTAGGTTCTTATTATCGATCAGTATAATACAATTATTCTCGCTTAACATTTACTGATTATGTCTTAGTGTTTTTATATCAGGTCTCCAAATTAAAATCTCACCGCAGGATACAGTTCTCATAATTGAGATTATTATGCATGAACTTAGGAAGGCACCACGCAGACACTTCTGTGTTAAGCAATTTTAATTTCTAAACAAAACCTTAACACTCTAATATGCGAACTCTTATGCTTGGAATTGTCAACACAGTACTCCTGGAGATGTTCTCCTCATTGATCCATACATTCAACCCTCAATGATCACGTTTGTTACCTGGGTAACAGTACAATCGATTATTCATCAGAGTTCGTGAGCATACACGGCGAGAGGAAAAAGTCCTTAAACATTCATGCAACGATATTCATACGAAGGCAATAAAGAAACATGTCCCGAAGGCAAAGCATATACGGCAATGAATTCATAGGTAAGATTACATAATTAACTAAATGTTTGGAACAATGGTGTGCAGCAGTATGCCTGCTTCA